ATAAAGAAAACGTGGGTATGCCTACATGAATTCAAAAGTCAAAAGGGAGCAAAAATGATCTTCTTGGTATGCAGAAAAGACTGTGGGTTACCCATCTTGGCTTTGCCAAAAACAGATTTAGGAAAAGTCGGTAACTATGAGATAAAAGTCGATTGAAAATTAATTTTAGGGCTGTTCTAGAGTGAAGATTTTGTGAGAATCTCTTCTCACATGGTTTAACCCCGGCAGAGACAAGAAAAGACATACAATTCAAACAAAGCCTACCTTAAAATTCAATACAAATTTTATTTCGTCTTTGCAAAAAAGATTATGCCCTTTGCGCCCCTGTGAATAGGGTGGGGTAGTTACTTCAAAGAAGTGGTAGTATTTTTTCTTCTCTGTAGGACTCAACTGGTCTCTATGCAGATTCGAAGAAGCAGGAACTTGACGGTCGTTGAACAGGAGCATTACCAATTTGGTTGCTGAAATAAAAACTCGGCTATTTGTCGAGAGCATGCAGAAAGGTTCTTCATGTAAAAGTACATAATGTGACGACAGTCAATAAACCAACTGAATTATTCAGCCTTAAAAAAGTCTCTAGAATATGAGACAAGAAGAATAATTGCCTAGTCATTTAGGCTTAATTTTGGGCGCTAAAGGCCCTGCAATGTGAGAGAAATGTGAGTCCTGTCATCTCGAAGATTTTGCAGCAACTGAAAAAAAAAGGCACAGGCAGTTGAAAATGTCCGCGAAAAGCAAAGGAAAATTCAACCAAAGAGCTTGGTCGGTACAAAAATACGGTGTGGCATAAATTAGCCAATTAGCTTAGCTTTAATTGCAGAATTTCTCACAATTTAGGGCTAAGCCTCCTTACTCTATATTTTTAAATATCTGGAAATTGCGAAGTGTAGATAAAATCCCATTTACAACAAACCAGGGCAGTACTTGCAGAAATGGAGCTCAGCCTTCTCCCACAATATTTAAGTATTATGGATGTCTAGATAAAACTCCACTATGACAATACCAGGGTCGTACTATCTTGAAAATCTTAGATGCCTGCAAAACTGCCAATGTCCTGACTAATACATGGTAGCTGTCTATGTTCAAACAAACAAGCTGATTTGTAAAACTCACGCACTGGATAAGTATCCAAGCATTTGTTCAACTTTGAAAGTGCTGTACTGAATACATCCTGCAAATTTGATATAACCTTATTCTTCTCTATGCTTTCCAGTTCAAACAGAAGACTCTCAGTTTCTAGGCCAAATGTCGTTTTCAGCCTACGACTATCAACGTAATGCTGTAAGCCTTTTATTAGGTTGTACACAATACATGCAAGTGGTAACTTGGTATCTTCTAAGCTTGTCAAGGCTTTTATTAAGTAAGTGCAGTTCTCAATGATGAAATGCAGGTTGAGGTATAAACTATGGTGCAGTTTATTATCAACTACAAATTTCAAAATTTGGTCTATTGTTAAGCTGTAGCTTTTATTCTTGTTTGAAGAATCCTTCATAAAATTGAACATATAAAGAGTGATATTTGGTTGAATTGAACCATGAATTCCATCAGTTTGCCATTGGAGCAGACTGGAGCTTCCCTAGTGGCTTACGCAAATAGACTTTAAACCATTTCAGATGTTGCTGTTTTCATCCAGGTTTTTTGAAAAAAAAACTAACTTAATGAAATATTGAGATGAGCAATATTACCAAATTGTGGTCAGTGTGAGAATAATTCACCAACAGGATGTAAAATGAGTGTTAAACACAAGGCATGATGATAGTTTACAAATATATTGGATAAAACATACCTATGCACCTTTTTACATTATGATGCTGAATCAGTTACAAATGCAGTAATGTCATCAAGTGCAATGTCAACATAAGTAACAGCTCAGATGCACACGAGACATAGTCTGATGATAGCATTCTTTCATGGTGACAACATCAATAAGAAATGTCTCCCCTCAAATGCTTGCACTCGCATTCAAAATGCTGTGGTCACGGTGGTCAGTTGTTTCATCTGCTTTGATAATTATATTTCATTGACAAGTTTCATTTTCATTTTAAAACAATTATTAGAAAATGTTAAAACAATATAACTGTTGTATCCTTAAAGAGGTTACAAACAAAGGTGGTACTTGAGTGAAGAAACAGCAACTTGCACATAGATGAAAGAAAGAGAGGTTTATTGTAAAAGAGAATACACTACTGAAAGACAGGGAATCAGGTGGCGGGCTAGTAATTCCTGAAGCAAGGTTATTTACCTTACCTCCCCATGAGGCAGGATGTGTCACAAGGCTGTTTTTTAATGCGGGGCAAAACTAACACCATAGGCTCTTGCAAAAATTCCCCATAGGCTCCGTAAAAAAACAGGATTGGGTAGCTGTCTACCACCCCAGACGAGACTCTGCCCTTGGGTATAGCCTTGTCTGGGTTCCTCTCTGCCTGAAGGCAAAGAGTTCAACCAGTACAGCTGGAGACAAATCTCCAACTAACTCCCAAAGCATAGCCCCCCAGGTATATCCTGTGCTCACTATACATATCTACTGATATAGACAGTTCACATAGGCAATAGGGTGTGTGGGACATTCCATTACAGCAATAACAAAATACAATATTTTACAAAATAGAAAATGTCCTTTTGTGCACCTTCTGTTTGGCAGATAACACATCAAAATATATAAATGATCTTTGAAAAATGGAAAAAACTTTGAGAAATTAATACAAACTTTGAATAAGGCCAAACATGCTCTTTAAAAAAAAATGTGCACCACCTAATTGAAAGATGTAAATAGAACAGCAAGAAGGGAGTTTTGGCAAATTCCACTGGTGTCATAGGGACTTTAAGCAATTTATCTTTTATAGAACACAGTTTTATTCACATGTCTCAGTTCCTTTTATGCATACTTCTCAGGTGTCGGCCAAAAATTGCTTTCCCTTCTAGGTCCTTATGATTTTGCCTTTATGTTACTTTGTCTTGGTTGAAAAAGCTGGTTACTTCTTCCTCGACAATTACAGTACCTTCAGGCTGAAAAAGTATATCACTTTCTTTGAAAATTTGATTAACCTCTGCAGATTATTTTCTGGCCCTTTCTTTTATATAATAATTGAAGGGACTTCAGACAGACTTTAACTTCAAATTTACGTGCTATTGATTGGGTAATAAATAAAAATAGTATATATTATTTTTAAATTTAAAAAATGATTTTGAAACCATCCACTTTGACTACAATATTTTTGGTAGTTCTTTTACCACCAATTCTAAAAATAGAAATTTTTACAAACGTAACAATTTTTTATAAACTGTCTAGATTTCTTTAAAACACACTTCTCTAAAAGTTACGTGTATAAAACAAACCAATACGATTATAATATTTGTTTATTTACACTTTTTTATTAATTATTATTTTCAATTATTTTGTATTACTGACATAAAAAAAAATTTATAGTATGTAACTACTTTTTTTGTTTGGTTGTTTTACGGGATATCAACCTGGATGAATTATTTAATGCTGACAAGAATTTTTAGATATGTTTGTATGTATAGAATATGTAATCATTGCTGGTAAATTTTTTTTTTTTTTTTTCAAAAATGTATTGCTGGTATTTTTACTATAAAAATGTATTTTTACACTTTCATAGTGTTTTGACTCCAGTTTGATGAGTAACTATTTGCACATAGCTTGGACCCTAACGGGTGATACCACCCCACATTAGGGTGGACCTGGGAACAACAGCAATAAAGAGGTGGTTCCACACTTCTCAAAACCTTACAATCAGAGTCCTTGCTGACAGATGTAGTTTATCATCATGTGCAGGATGGCCAAATTTTTACAGACAAATGTACCAATTTTTCATGAACTGTTTGGTTTTCTTTAAAACATACTTCTCCAAAAGTTATGTGTATAAAACGAACCAATACAATTATAATATTTATTTATTTGTTTATTTACAGTTTTTTATTAATTATTATTTTCAATTATTTTGTATTACTGACTAATAAAAAAATTTTATAGTATGTTACCACTTTTTTATTTGGTTGTTTTACGGGATATCAACCTGAATGAATTATTTAATGCCGACTAGATTTTTGGGATAGGTTTGTATGAATAAAATATATAATTATTGCTGGTATTTTTACTATAAAAATGTATTTTTTATACTTTTATAGTAATTTTGACCACAGTTTGATGACTAACTATTTGCCTATAGCTGGGACCCTAACAGGTGCTACCACCCCAGGTCAGGGTGGACCTGGGAACAATAGCAATTAAGAGTGGTTCCATGCTTTTCAAAACCTTCCAATCAGCAACCTTGCTGCCAGATGTAGTTTATTGTCATGCACAGGATGGCCAACATTTTAATCAACTGTTATATTTAAGGGACAGTTAGGATGATACATTCATCATTACAATTGATTTCCAAAAACAGAAATTACTTATGACTCAACCTAATATTATACATTGATTCTTTCAGACCATTTTTCTCACCTTTGATGAATGACAAGGAAAGTGGTCTGAAATAATGTATGACAAGAAGAACATTTCATGTGAGAAAAATAAAAAACTTTTTTAACTATTGATGACTGACACTTTTATTCTGATAGTGGCCTAAATGATGAATTTTACATTTTCTCATTGCAGAATGCCAATACCAATCTTTTATTTATTGCAAAACAAATTCTTCTGAAAAATGAGGATGCCCCGAAAACGACAATGGCTACGTTGTATACTGTTAGTGCTCCTAATCATGGGAGCAATACAGTTTTTCCTCAGTAATAATGCCCCAAGTGTAAAGAAGCGGATTCGGATTGTGTCTCAGTATACATTCAAGCCTCCACCAGATGAAATAGTAGAAAAACGATTGAAAGTAATCGATGACAGCCAACCTGAGAAAGATCAAGATCAGGAGAGACTAGAGCAAATTAAGTTGCAAAAGCAAATTAAGGACTTGTTGGAAGAGAAAGCAAGAAAACACAATTCGAATGTTAAGTCCATGTCACAAAATGAGACGCATTTGAATATGATTGGACTGATAAAAACGGAAGAGGATGAGAAAAATCGAAATAGAGGTTGGAATTATTTTCTATTGTTTTTTATTTTAATATCAAAATCAAAAAAAAAAAAAAGTTACTTCTTTTTTTTGTTTTTTTTTTGTCACTACATAAACAGACTGGTCCACTTCCTTGTAAAAAAATAAGGAAGTTCTCTTTCTGTAGATATGCATTCCTTGGACCTTTCTCAGGCTGTACCATTTGTTACAATAGAAAGAATTTTTTTGTCTATATTTCTGAGATAAGGTATTATGTACACTATTTACATTATTCAGACTATTGTCCTCATCTTTGTCGTCATATTTATCACAGCGTTTTGGCCTTTTAGTATCTGTTTATATTTCTGAGATGAGGTATTACGTACATTATTTACATTATTTAGACCATTGTCCTCATCTTTGTCATCATATTTATCACAGTGTTTTAGCCTTTTAGTATCTGTTTATATTTCTGAGATGAGGTATTATGTACACTATTTACATTATTCGGACTATTGTCCTCATCTTTTTTGCCATATTTATCACAACGTTTCAGCCTTTCAGTATATGTCTATATTTCTGAGATGAGGTATTATGTACACTATTTACATTATTTGGACTATTGTCCTCATCTTTTTTCCCATATTTATTACAACATTTTGGCCTTTTAGTATCTGTCTATATTTCTGAGATGAGGTATTATGTACACTATTTACATTATTCGGACTATTGTCCTCATCTTTTTTGCCATATTTATCACAACGTTTCAGCCTTTCAGTATATGTCTATATTTCTGAGATGAGGTATTATTTACACTATTTACATTATTTGGACTAATTTCCTCATCTTTTTTCCCATATTTATTACAACATTTTGGCCTTTTAGTATCGGCCTATATTTCTGAGATGAGGTATTATGTACACTATTAACATTATTCGGACTATTGTCCTCATCTTTTTTTAACATATTTATTACAACGTTTCATTTTTAAAGTTGTAACTGAAGAAGGCCAGAGGATTTTACAATGGCAAAAACATTGTTAATATAAAAATGTTCACTAAGATGAGGACAATAGTTCAAATAATGTAAATAGTGAAGAATTTTTTCTTTTTTTTTTATATTCATTATATCGATACCTGACTTTTACAAGACTTACGGTCATATCACATTGAAACACCAGTTCCTATACAATTACCAAAATTAATCAATGTCAAGCCTGGTCAGTACATAGATGGGTGACTGCTTTGGGAATACCAAGTGCTGTAATCTTGGATATGCAAATGTTGTAATGGATCATGGCTAGGAATTGTTAATCGGAGAGCTGAGTTCCAATTCCATTTGGGTTTAATTTATATTCACTTAACTGCAAACATCTTAGGGAAAGGTATGAACCCATCTCTTATCCCCCCAGCTGTGTGTTAATTAGTAATACTTATATGACTAAACCATTATCTCAAAAAAAATTCTTACAATCTAAAAAAATGAAAAAAATTCCCTAACTTTAAATAACCTACAATGGGTTGATAAGCTGTAGAAAATGAATGAATCAATCAATGACTTTTACAGAGTTATCTGCTCTTCATTTTATAATTGAAAAGGCTAGATGTACTGTAATTTCTATGCTAACAGTTTCTTCTCTTGCACTTCTTGCTAGTGGAACTCTGATCTGACCTCTTGCTTTCCAGTTAACATTGATCTTCAATAATTTAAATGCATTGTCAATTGTTATTTTTTGTCTTCTTAATTCCTATTCTTTTATTGTTCTCTCTCCTTAATGTTTTTCTTTTTCTCATATACTTTCACACCCAGTAACTCATTGTGTCTTAGTGGCTTTATTGCCTTACTTGGGATGAAATGGTTAAAAAAAAAATGTAGATTTTTATTTACATGCCTCGAAAATGTGCTTACATCATTGATGTCTATTTTTTTTATACTTTTGTTAATTCATGTAAATTTTTGTCTTTTACTTTAAAATGTGACACTACTTTAAAAATTTATACATTTGTTTATTCTTTAATGACAAAAAATATTTTTGTAACAATATAAAAAAGAAAACTATTTTACAAAGCAATTGTCGGTTTAATATAAAACATAAAAATGTATATACCTGTTTGTACTTTATTTTAAAAAAATCTTTTAGTACAATTAAAAGAAACGTCTATTTTTGCATGCAGATATCAATGACGTAAACATGGTTAACATTTGTAAGAAACAGCTTGTTTTCTAAAGTCAAATCAAGGGCTAATGGCCATATCACATTGAAACACCGGTTTTAGTTTGATCACTGAAGTTAAGCAACATCAAGTCTAGCCAGTACCTAGATGAGTGACCACTTTGGAATACCAGGTGCTGTAAGCTTTGGTGTGAAGCTTGGAGACTGGAGATTGAATTCTAGTCAAGTTCATTACATTCACTTACACACAAATAGCCTTTGGAAAGGTAGGAATCTTTTCTTCTCCAAGCTATGGGTTAAATAGCAGGACACACTGGTTCCTATAGCCTTGGTTAGCAACCAGTCTACTGTAAAAAGTAATGGGGCAGGAATTCTGCCAAGTCAGTCATGAATTAAAAAGAGACGTTTGGGAATACCAGGTATATAAGCTTGAATGTGCAGGTGGTATAATGGCTAACAGCTTGGTATTGGAGGTCTTGAACAAAATTGTGGTCAATTAATCCTCACCAGTATATGAGAAGATATCAAGTTGTGATAAGCTGTGGAAAATGAGAATTATCACTTGTTCATATGGAGTGGCAAAAGATGGTGGTCATGTAGAGAACGCTAACACATATTTAAATGGCAAACATGGACCCAACAGCAAGTCAAGAGATGCCTAGCAGTCGGCACTGTAAATAGTGGTTGGGTGTGTTTTCTTTCAAGCAGTGGCAGAATACATTTTCTTTTATTTCTTTCAATGGGAAACCATTGATTGGGACAAGGGCTGTATCTCTAGCTATAAAGGCAGGATGTGTGTGTGTGTGTCTAATGAATGCACAGCCGCAATTTTCGACGGATTTGCACTAAAATTTACATGCACATGCTCCAAGTTAGTGGGAAGGCCAAGACCGACTTTGCATTTCCCAACTCCCATCGATACCATTTGATTTTTTCATTCTTCTATGGCACTTTTCATGTAGTTTGCGACCATTTTATACTGGCCAGAGTGAGAGCATATAGCTGGCTTCCACAAATAGGCAGGATGATTCTATTAGCCAGCATGAGAGCCAACAGCTGACTTATACGAATGTTAACTAGCATGCAAAAAAAATCAATAGCTACATTCGTCACAAGTGGGAAAAATTTAAATCTGCATGGTACTTTACTCCAATTGGCTCATTTACTTGTTTAAACTCAACGTTGATTCTGATTCTGCAGAACTAGGTTGGGTGTGAAAAATTATTTGTTAACATTCTTTTCATTCATTTTTTTCCAGTTACATAGTCCTTTTTTTTAAAGCTGATCGTTTTGTGTTCATTTTGTTTAGTTCTTTTTTCATTAACAGATTTAATGTTTAGTATAGAGCTTAAAAAAATTTTTAAAAATAGGCAAGAAGTAAGTCATGTAGCAACATCAGCAAATTTTTTCACTGCTTTAAAAAAACAAGGAAGGGCAAAAATATTTTTAAGTCAAGTGATAGCGATTGCTGTAAATGAGTCGTACGATTTTTGAATCAAGCATAGGCAACACTGGGCCATGCTGCTAGTAGTGAATATAAATGTTGATTTTTGTCTGATCCTCATGGACCCCCTGAAAACAATCCATGAACCCCAGCCTTGGTTTAAAGAATGCTAATCTACAACAATCATTCCCCCACTAATTTTTTACAAGTGGACCAGTCTAGTTAAGTGATCTCTCTTTTGTTTTTTTGTTTTTTGGGGGAAGATAAAATAATTTAGTAATTCTTCCCTTCTGTAAGACCCAATATTTCTTGATTCATTCATGACTTCCAAATGAAATTTTATTCACATCTTTGTTCATTTTTGTTGGAAGTTTTGAGATGAGACATTATCATTATCATAGTCTTTGATACTTGAACCAGCCTGTTCCCTTTGTTTGTTATGCACATAACAGTTTGGCCTTTCTTATCTTCAGCCTTATTCAGGTGTCTGTTGTGTTTTTTGCCTGAATATTCAAGATTAGGAATTACCATAATTATATACTTTGCTATTCAGACTCGTATGCTTATCTTGCTGTTACAGTCAACATTTCAGCCACACTACTCTCCACTTATCATCAGGTTTTTTGGCAAACTTGGACCTGCGTGCCTACAAAAAAGGAGTGTCAAAAGAACAGTTTTTCTATTGGTACCACTATTATTTTAACTATCTTTCATCCTCAGCAATGTTGTTTTAAAAAGCAATGATTAGAATTGTAATAAAGCCTAAACCTACCGGCCATTGTTCCTTAGGTCAACCCTGACCCAAGATGATAGCACCTGTTAGTGTCCCAGCTATGGGCAAATAGTGAACTGTCAAATACTATGAAAGTATAAAAATACAAGCAATGCTTTATTTTACCCCAGTGAATGAAATAAAAAGAAGTTCAACATTCCAACCAAAAGAAGAAGGCCAAAGCATACAAAAAAAAGAAAAACATTGTAATAAATATGTTGAGAAAGATGAAGACAATAGTCTGAATAATGTAAATAGTGTATGTATGTGTATATATATATATATATATATATATAAAATTACCAATGGTACATATTTATAATAAAATAAACCAACAATACTTTTTTAAAAAGTTTTAATGACCAACAATACATTTTTATCTGTTTCTGAGGCCATAAAAATATTGATTTCATTTTTTAAAGAACCCATAGAAGTGTTGATATGCCACTAGACAATATCAAATCAAAAACCTAAACCTATGATGAAAGTGAATTTATACATTTTTTACCACAAAAATATTAAACACTATTTATTTATTAGATTGTTTATTTACATGAATAATTTTATATTTACAACATTCTAAAACTAATACAATTAAAAAAATGCAATGCAATATTTATTTATTACCATTATTTATAAAGAAAAAAATATGAAAACAATTTTTTATTCATAAATTTATAAACATTTAGTAAATTATTAAAATATGTGAACCAACTTTAAAGAAATCCTTATTATTTACCATTTTATAAAGTTTGAATCAATTGGCAATTTGCTGATGTTTTGTCAATCATTCCAATAAATAATATAGTAAATAGTGTAAATAATCTAATAATTAAATAGTGTTTATTATTTTATTTACTTTCATATGTTTAGGCTTTATTAAAATTCTAATCATTCATTGCTTATTTTTTTTTAATAAAGGATCCAGTCTACTGCTATTGATTGAATAAAGTTTAAAATTCCAAGAAGATTAGTGACTACAAAGATTAAAACCAAAGAAGAACCTGCAATGCGAATTTTTTCTAAGCTCTATACTAAACATTAAATCTGTTATGAAAAAAGAACTAAACAAAATGAACACAAAACGATCAGCTTTAAAATAGGACTCATAACTGGAAAAACCGAATGAAAAAAGAATGTTAACAACAAATACTTTTTCACACTCAACCCAGTTCTGTGGAATCAGAATCAACGTTGAGTTTAAGCAAGCAAATGAGCCAATTGGAGTAAAGTGCCATGCAGATTTAAATTTTTTTCCACTTATATGTGACGAATGCAGCTATTTTTTTTTTTTTTTCATGCTAGCATGCTAGTTAACATTTGTGTCAGTTCTGTTGGCTCTCATGCTGGCCAATAGAATCTTCCTGCCTATTCGTGGCAGCCAGCTATTACACTTGCTCATTTTTTTAGTACAAAATGGCCACAAATTACATGAAAACTGCCGTAGAAGCATGAAAAAATTCGATTATTTCCACTATTGATGAGAGTTGGGAAATGCAAAGTCAGTCTTGGCCTTTCCCACTAACTTGGAGCATGTGCATGTAAATTTTGGTGCAAATCCATCAAAAATTGTTCTATTGCATTCCTTACAAACATTACACATTCAACCTGCCTTTTATAGATAGAGATATTTGTGTAATAAAAAGTAACAGAAATGAAACAAAAGAAATTCTAATAAAAAATTAAGATAATTGATAATGCTTCATCTAAGAAATTCAAAATGATATTACTACTAATACTACTTGAATATTGACTTATTTAACATTTTACTGTTAATCTTAGTTAAAATGTTTCATTGATTGGATGATTCTTACAGGTAAGATCTGGTGATTTTAATGTAAAAATTTTCCCTTGAGATTGGCATAGAATAGACAGCAAGTGCAAACTATTTGAAATACGAGAAAAGCTCGTTATAATAAAAACTGAAGTCATATCTATCTCAGTTTTATATTTATTTTGTTTGTTTTAAAAGTTAAATAAGCTTCAACTATTTTTTTTATTTCTAGGCTATAAGTTACATGCCTTCAATATACTAATAAGTGAAAGACTTGGTTACCACCGAAAAATTCCCGACACTCGTAATCCAGAGTAAGTATTTAAAATATAATATAGTAAATCATTTCGCTTTTAAGTGTGAAGTTAAAGGATCAACCTTAATAGAAAAACCTGAATAAAAATAGATAAAATTGCAACGTGTAAGTGTATTACCTTAGCCATCATGAACAAAGTTAACAGATTTTACAACTGACTAAATGAAGATACAAAGGCTTTACATCAATTTGATAAAATTTTCTTGGAGTATTTCAACATTTCCTGAGACTCCTTTTGATGTATATTATTGTTGTATCCTTAAAAAAGCTTACAATCAGACAAAAGTGGCACTTGAGTGAAAGGAACAGCAACACGGACATAGATGAAAGAAAGAGAGGTTTATTGTAAAAATACACTTTCTTTTTTTGGAATCTGTTCAGTTTTTTTAGAAATTTTGAAATTAAATTATATTTGCCAATCATTTGTGTCATCAGATGTAGCACAAGGCCAAATTTAAATGAGAAATATCCGAGCCCTATAGACTCAGGCAAAATTTCATAGACCCCATATAAAAATTAAACAGTTAGTTAATGCTGTACTTGCAGATGAGACTCTGTCTTTTTTTTAGCCTTGTCTTGGTTTCCTTATCTGCTTGAAATGAACAAGGAATAGTTCAAAATTTGCCATGGAGATTCATCTCCAACTAATTTTTTTCTTTTCCATATTTGCTAACTGCCCCATATGGTCAGATGTGGCACATATTTAAATTTTAATGTTTTTCCCATCCGATATTTGAATTGATCAGGCAAAAAAAATTCCCGTAGACCCATGTAAAATTATTGGGTCAACTACCATTACCAAAAGATGAGATATGCCCTTCAGCATAGCCTCGTCTAACATCCTCTCTTTGATTGGCAAAGTTTGACCAGCTTAGTTATCCAAAATTCAACTAATTTCTGAAAAGTCTGCCATGTATATCCCATATGTGCAAATATATATATCTACTGATATATTGGTCCATAATAGGCGAAAAGGGAGTAATTTTTCCATTACAATACATCTACCTGAGCTAATTTTTCCCATGAAATTTTGCACAATAATTTTCTTCTTTTTGGGGTTTTCCAGACAAACTGTTTTAAAACTTTTTTCCTCTTCCTAGTACTTTTCCATTTCACCAGCACAAAAATTATTATTATTTTATATACTATAGTAGAGCTCCTTGCCAATTCCTGGATGTAACAGTAAGAGATAGATCAAGTATCGACCATCATAGACTGAAAAATAAAATTGACAAAGATTATTATTAAGGTTGAAGGACAGACATGTCTTAATTAGTTTTTTTTTTTTTTGTTTTTTTATGAATTGGTCAAACCCAAACTCAAACAAAAACATTGTTTTCAATCGTTATGAGTCTACCGATTGAATAGAATTTTATTATAAACAATTGTCTTGTAAATGGAATTTTTAAAGCATTCTGAATGTAAAAATAAAGAAAAAAAAATGTGCAAGACAATAAGAAACACTACCTGCCAAAAAAAAAAAAATCAAGTTTTATTTGTTGAAATCGGTTGAAAATGTAGGAAATCCGATCCCATATATAAATGAACACACACACACACACACACACACACACACACACACACATGGGTTTTATAATAAGTATAACTCGATATGAGTTGTCCCCCAAGTCATTCTGGCAACAGTGATGCCTCTTAAGTTGATAGTTTTCAAATTGATTTCATGCAAAACAATTTTGTTTTTCCAATTTTTTGGTTCTGTCAGAACCACCACAAGGTAATTTTATTCAGTCCTGTGAAGTTTTGTTGAAATCGGTTGAAAAATGTAGGAAATCCAATCCAATATATAAACGAACAGACACACACACACACACACACACACACACACACACCCTGGGTTTTATAATAAGTATGATTTTTGTCCCTTCTATGGAATGTCAATCAGATCTCTGAATTTGATCAATTGATATATATTACTCTCATTCCTTTACCAGTCACAATCAGTGTAATTCCTGAGAAATGTCAAATGGATCCCTGTCTTTGATATATTTTGTCCTCTCTATTCAAGGTGGATACTAATCAATCGGTTCTCATGCCATATAGAAATTTAGAAAAGTATACTAGACCATAGCATATGACCATTGCTGATTTCAATATAGAATTTGATCATTTCTTTCAGCAACTCGGAGAAAATAATATTAATTAATCTGATGCTGTATTAGTTTACAGAGCCCTGAAGAGTACCAATCTTGGAGAAGACAATGAAAAATGAATAATAGCTACTGTTAGAGACATAACACTTAATGAAATGATGATTCAAATAAAAAAAAATGATGGGTGTTAGACCAGAAACTTTAGTCAGTATTTCCTGTCCAGCAATCAATCAATCAAATAAAGTCTGAGCCAGCAGATGTGATCTCAGCTCAATCTTCAGATGGAAATAATTATGTACAGACAGAGGATGTAATGTCTAGTCTCGGCTACCAAAATCAACAGAAGTATTATTGTGGCAGAGGAAGCAGAGGTTACACATCAATTAGAGGAATCAGAGGTTATTATACATCAATTAGAGGAATCAGAGGTGATACATCAATTAGAGGAATCAGAGTTTGTACCAACTATCAGAAGAATAAAACCAGTAAACGTAATCACAAGTTATATCACAAGTAGAATTTATTAACAAATAATTTGAAGTTTTCATTTATTCTAATGTCATATAGTGACATGGAAAATACTAAAAACATATATTCAAAATAAGCTGATGCCAATATTCCCAAAGTAGATTCTGCTTGTGAGCAGATATATCAAATATAACTACAGTTGTGTGTATATTACCATAACACACAAAAAGTGGCACATTCTAGTACAATTTTTGTTAGCACAATACTGGAAGAGAAAGCAATTTTCAATTCGATTGGGCCAGCAGTTTCTGAGTAATTTTTACTCAAAAATAAGTATAAATTAATAAAAAAAGAAGTTTCTTCAACGGAAATAACTCCAGCTCTGTAAACTTCTAATTATAGAATTCTTTTGTTTTGCTTTTTAATCATTTCACCCCAAGCAAGGCAATAAAGCCATTAAAATGCAAGTGATAACTCAGTGTGAGAGAAAATGAGAGAAGAAAAAAAAAACACTATTGAGGAGAGAGAGAACAATAAAAGACAGGAATTAAGAAGACAGAAGATAACAATTGACATTGCTTTAAAATCTTTGAAGATCAAAGTTGACCAAGAAGCAAGAAGCTGGAAGAGAGTTCCACAAATGAGAAGTATTTTTGGAGAAACCATTAACATAGAACTTATATCTAGCTGTTTCAATTGCAAAATGATGAAACCTTGCCACCAATATAGTACTGCGCTTAAATTTATAAAGTCTAGAAAGTATTCATAGAAAAGTTACAAGGAAGATACATTATGGCAGTGTGAAAATGACTGAAGTTGAAATGCCTGGTCAGGATCAGTAACATTACAGATTCTTCTTTGGGTTTTATCAAGACTCTCTAAATATATAGTAGGAGCACCAGACCATATGTGACAGTGATATTCAAAGCCTGGACGAATGGTAGACTTATAAATATGTAAGATAGATTCTGGCAAGAAAAATTGTCTAGCACAACACAGTGAACCAACTTTCTTAGCAGCAGACCTAGCAATTGATTCAATATACTCTTTTCACTTCATCCCAATGGAAAATGTTAGTCCAAGGAGGTGAAATGAATCACTCTCCTGGAGGTTAGCCTCAGCCATGCTGATTGAAGGTAAAAAGGTTTCTCTAAGACAATTAAAAGAGAGACGTATTGTTTTGGAGTTTTAACAAACCATTTCTTGCCCCAGTTAACAACAGAAAGTAGATAATTTTTTAGATCAGTTCCACCAGGAAATGCCATGTTATTTACATGGAGTTGAATCATCCTCATTTCCCACATACACCAAATGTAAAGAGGAAATTCCATTCAGACAGATTTATTCCAAGAAATGCAGACTCCTGGGTGGATGCTTCCCTGAACAATACAATCTTAAGCTCTTCAAGTCAAAGATTATCTATCCTCCTTATCCTCACTTCCTACCACCTCTTACATTCACATCACACACAACATTCAGTAACCCTCTACTTTGATTGACTCTCAAGTCTTGTATTGGATGAATTAAAAAAAATAGGAAACTAATGCAGGCATTATTAACAGAAACAGGTTATTGTATAAAATAGAATTATTTTTATTTACCCTATTTACATTGTTCAGACTGTTGTCCTCACCTTTGTTGCTATATTCACATTTCAACTATTGTACACTCTAGCCTTCTTTGGAAGAGGCATGACACTCAGAACTAAAACAATCTACCCTGACAGACAAAATAAAGGTTTCTGTTTGAAATTCCAATCACCTGAAGAAGGTTGGAGCATACAACGGTTGAAATGTGAATATGGCAACAAAGATGAGGACAACAGTCTGAACAGTGTAAATAATTACAATACCACCTCTCAGAAATATAGAAAACACTATTTTTAATGATTTTTATTATAGAATTTAAAATTAAGAAAAAGGGAATTGTTAGTGGTCAGGAATTAATGCAATCAGTACAGTTATTATTCAGTTGCAAGAATTTCAATAGGGCTATTTATAACGTAAATGGTTTCATATAGAAATACAGGAATTAATACAAGCATTACAGTATCTATAATGCTTGCATTAATTCCTGACCACTGATAATCCCTTTCTTTCTAATTTCAATGCATTTCTCGATGTAGGGCTATTTATCATGTAAATGCATTACTAGTGATTTACTGTAGAAATTCATTATCCTAATCCACTAGGGTATTGTCATTCTTAGGATAATAGCCTAGTGGATTAAAGTGTTGATTTGTGAATTTGGTGACATAGTAATTGTAAGTTCAATCCCTTGGCAGGGCTGTGTTTACTTGGATTCAGTGGAAATAACTGAGCAGTAATTTAAAAAAATAAGAACTAGATGAGATATCCCTAGAGATGGAGAATGGAACTAGAACAGTCTGATCATTAGATTAAATAAAGGGTCCAGTTTAGAATTCCCTGTATGTTACCCAGATTGATATACACCTAATGGAGGCTGGAGAGCACAATAGCTGAAACATTGTGATAGCAACGTTAAAGATGAGGACAATAGTCCGATTGTAAATAGTGAAAATAATGATAACTCCTGATCACCAAAATTCAGACAGAAAGTTACTGACATAATAGGAATATTTATTTTATTATTATTATATAATAATAATAATAATGTTGAACATTTGTGAATAATAATTATCAGTCTTTTATTCTGGTCATTTTTAATTTCTTATAATTTTCTTATAAATTTCTTTATTTTAATTTCTTTCTAGATGCAGGATGAAATCTTATCAACCAGTTTTACCAAGCGCCAGTGTTATTATCTGTTTTTATAATGAGCACCGCACCACCTTACTTCGATCCATGCACAGTGTGATTGATCGCACTCCTGTGGAAACCCTTCATGAAATCATTTTGGTTGATGATTTCAGTTCATTAAGTAAGACTATTTTTGCTTGGTTTTTAGATTTTGGTTCATTGTTATGTTACAAGAAGTATTTGGTTTCTCTTGTACCCAGGTCATAAAAATAAACACTCTTTTCACTCCCCACCCCAACAAAATCCTCCCACTTATTGTATTTGCTGATTATATCCAACATAACATGTTAATATTTGGATAAAATTAACCTAATTAACTTTGGATCACTCATTTAGGTTTTTTCTTTTTTTTCATTTCTTTTTTTAACATTTGAAATTATTTCTAAAAATTATTTCAGTTGAGTTGTGACCAGAAATAACATTTTTTTTCAAATTTTTGTTCATATCATTAATTTTCGTCACAGGACCTATTGTACAACTCAATCAATATTTTGAAAGAGACAGCTGAAATTTCCGAGACACATAATGAGTAAAAAAGACTTAGAATTTGACACTCTCAAACAGCTGAGTTCCAATTCTATTTGGGTTCGCTATATTTTCTCATGCACAACTACCTTTGGGAAAAGGTCTGAATCCTACTCTTATTCCCCCAGCTATGTGTTAATTAGTAAGACTTGTATCAGTAGATCATTATCATCTTCTAAAAATTTCTTACAATCTAACTTTAAATAACCCGCAAAAGTTGATAGGCCATAAAAAAACAAATCAATCTAAAGTCAAGATCAATTTTACACTACTTGGAATCAGTGATCAGAGAACTAAGTTTCAGTTGGGTTTGTTACATTTACTTAATTGCAAATACCCTTGGGAGAGGTATGGATCCCCAAAAAATGGAAACAAATCAGTCACTCAATCTTGTTTGGCCAAAAAAAAAAAAAAAAGATGAAAAAAAAAAAATAAAGAAGCTCTCTGCTACTAAATTTTGAATTTCATTACCTACAAGTTTTTAGGGATATTTTTTTAAAACAACCCAAGTTAAATTGTGTTAGTAATGGGAAGGTCAATAAAAATTAAATAGCACTGACCTTTCACATGTATTCCAGCTTGCCGCTTGTAACTCAATCTGGCAACCCTGTTATTAAAAACTACTGTATTTGACAGCATATAAGGTGCACTTTTTTTTTTACTAAAAATATCTTTTAAAAGTGTGTCTTATATGCCATATGTAGGTTTAAAATTCGTGATAGTCAGCCCAAATTAGCTACCTGGCAACTCCTATTAGCTTGAAACATGAAGGAGCAATGGAACACGTAGATGGCAATGCCTGATCACGACCTTTAGACTTACAGGAAGAATAAAAAGACAAAGCATTGCATAAGTCTGCGAATGGATGAAGCAAGCTTGGGATAATATTAGACCTGAAATTGTTGTGAAAGTTTTTAAAAAGTGTGGCATTAGCAATGTTCTCACTGGAATAAAAGATGACACATTATTTAACAACAATGATAGTAGTATTGAAAATGAGTATCAGTGTTTAGATAATGAAGACAACAAATTTTATGGATTTTAGGATGAATAAAATTTTAATGGTAACTGTACTGTTTTGCTCAATTGTAATAATTGCTTGATTTTTATTTTGTTTTCTTACCTTTGGATATAATAAAGTTTTTATAGGCTCATGTTCTTTTTTCCTATTATTTTTTGTTTAATTGTAATCATGGCTTGTTTAATCAAAGTAATAATACCTCATAAATATAGCCTAAGCTAATAATTTTACTAATTTTACGAAGTGTTAATTTTTTTCTTGACTTTCCCTGTTGAAATTTGGGTGCATATTATACACCGTCAAATATGGTAATTAAATTTTAGTACTTCTATTCTTAAAACCTTTGACCTTTTGAAATCTTTGATGGCAGTAAGACATCCAAGAATGTGTGATTTTGACAACCAAAAATCCCATTAAATATTGACTCAAAAAACGTTTTACAAAGGCACAAATTGGTGCAGTTGAAAGCAACAAAGTGGATTTGGTACAAATTCTGGTTTCAGTCATTTTATACTCATGGCTTTGAGAGTATCATTAACCCAACTGCCTCCCTTCAAAATGTACAGCTTCATCTTTGATGAAGAACCGGGAATAATAATGATATGTCCTGGAAAGGGATATATTTGTACGAAGTAGCTAAGCGGTTTTGGCTACTGTAACTGGTTAGGACAATCAACAGTAATCAACTGGTACTCGTCGTAGGCAATATGCTTAGGCAATAGGTGTAGACCAATAGGCATAGACCATATACGTAGACTTAGACAATGTACCTCCACCTCAATCAGTATTTATGGCTGACACCAGCCAATCATATTACAGTGAGGGGGGAACACAGGTGTATGCATATTCATTACATCACCTCCCCCTGAGTTAGATTTTCCCGTGAAATTTAGCTTCAATATTTTCTCTTTTTAGGGTCTTGACTTAATTGATTGACTTTTTTCCTAAGTCTTTTTAACCTCAATCCTCCTTGCAGTGGTGGCGTTTGACATACTGGTACCTCTGGCCTTGAGGTCAGGGATACCTCCATTGGTGAATGTTGACTTACTGGAACGGGAATTTCAAATGCATCATACAAGACTTCCATTGAAATCTCTTCGGTATTTTCCATGACCTCTGTAGTGTGTCTAGGTCTCAATTGATTCCAATATTTTTTGCACTGAAATTTTTCCCCTTTTATGTCATATATGACCTGTCCAATTCTTTTGGTTATCATTCCTTCTTCCCAATACATTTTTCCAGCCCTAAAGTTCTTGAAAAAAACTTTGTCACTTGGCTTATACGCTTTAGTCATCTGGTTTTCTTTTTTAACAGTTTTCTTCGCCGAACTAGGCAACAGCCTGTCGAACACAGAGTGTATTTTTCTCGCAAACATTAACTCTGCTGGTGATAACCCTGACGTCATATTCGGGTTTGGCATGATTCTATATACTGCCAAAAACTTCTTTCATTTATGTCCACGCCTTGGTTTTTCTTCAGTGCTCGTTTAAAGGTGTCCACGAATTTTTCTGCCTGTCCATTCGATCTTGGATGATATACTGGTGTTGTCACATAATCAATGGACAATGATGTACAGAATTCCTTGAATTCTCTTCCCATAAACTGCGTTCCGTTGTCGCTGACTAAAGTTTTAGGGAGTCCAAAGCGCATTTATTGTATTTGTTGCAGTCGGATGTCTACACTTAACAATTTCTGGCCACTTAGTGAAACTGTCCACAGTGATCATGTAATATGATTCCTTTATGGGCCCTGCATAGTCGATATGCAATTGAGTCCATGGGACATCTGTCTTTGTCTCATGGTTGAATCTTTACCAGTGGATCCCTTGCTGTCAGTTGACATCCTCTGCACTGTTTCACCAAATTTTCTATGTCTTGGTCCATCCTCGGCCAATAAGTATAGCCTCTCATTAGAGATTTCATTCTCGAAATCCCTGGATGGCCAATGTGAAATTCTTTCAGAATTTTCTTTTGCAGAGTACACAGCATTACAACTCTATCTGTGTATAGTGATGATGTTCACAGATTGAAAAAGGTGACACACTAATTCCTTTTTTAGTTTTCTCGTTCGACCAGATTTGCTTTTTAATTTTTTTAATGAAATCATCCTTCACCACTGCTTTTTTCACGTCTTCTAGCATAACCAGTAGTTCTCTAATAGTGTTGCATAACAGACCCGACAATTCACTTTCGTCTCTTAGCGCTGCTATTACTGTTTCTTCTAGTGGTTCCGTATATTTAGGTATTAATCTTGACAACCCATCGGCATGACCTAGCTTCTTCAAAGGCACATATTCTATTTTGAAATTATAATTCAATAAAATTACCCCCCAACGCTGTAGTTGATTTGCCGTGTGAGTTGGTATACCTTTTTTTGAACCAAATATTGTTAACAGCGTTTTGTGGTCTGTTTGCAGAATAAATTCTCTTTCATACAGAAACCTGTGAAATATTTTTACAGCGTAGATTATTGCTAAACTCTCTTTTTTGATTTGACTGTAACTTTGTTCCGCGAGCAGAAACGTTCTCAAGGCATGTGCTATTGGTTTTGTAGATCCATCCTCGAATTTATGAAGCAATACTGTACCTAGTCCCTCATTACTGGCATCTGCTGCTACAATGATTTTCTTCTTCGGGTCGAAATGCGCTAACGATAGGTCTGCTAATAGGCATCTTTTTATTTTTTTTAAAAGCATCTTCGCATTCTTTCGACCATATCCACTTTGCATCCTTTTTCACCAAATTATTTAAAGGAGCTCTGATGTCATACATTTTTGGGATATAAATGCTATAGTAGCTTACTAATCCCCTAAACACCTGAAGTTTAGCCACATTATTAGGTGCTGACATATTTTTTATAGCCTTAGACCTTTCTGGATCTGATTTTCTTCTTTACTGTCAATGATCTGCCCTAAATATTTTATCTTCTTTAAGAAGAACTCGCATTTTTCAGCACTCAGCTTGAACCTGTATTCCTCAATTCTCTGAAATACTGCACTAATATGCATTTTGTGTTGGGCCTCATTTACACTTTTAATCAAAATATCATCTAAGTATGTGATTGCATACTCCATACCAGCCAACATTGGGTCCATTATTTGCTGGAATAGGCTTGGAGCTACCTTCAATCCAAAAGGAAGACAATTTAGTTAAAAAATCCCTTTATGTGTGTTTATTGTCAGGTACTTCAAACATTCTTCACTGACTTTAACCTGAAGGTAAGCCTCCGACAAGTCCAACTTTGAAAACACTCTACCGCCATTTAATTTAGTGAATATATCCTCTGGAGATGGTAGAGGGTACGCATGGTCTTTTAGATAATCATTTATGCCTGTCGAAAAGTCAGCACACACTCTGATTTTTCGGTTTTTCTTTTTTATATATATACGGTTGGAGAGGCCCAATCAACTTTTGAAATTATGCCAATTTTCTCTAACCTTTCTAAATCCTCATTTATTGAGTCTAGTGCCAAAAATGGTACTTTTCTCTTTGGTTTAACATTTTCTTTCAATTCGAAGTTGACTTCTGTTTTTGTGCACAGACCTAGTCCTTCTGAAAAGACGCGAGGGAATTCACCTTTCAAATCCGTAATTAATCTTTCTGTTTGCTTCATCTTATAGTTCTCTATAACATTTACTTTGTTACAGAAAGAATTTACCAGTAATTCCCATAAATTAAACGATACAATCCAGTCTAAACCAAAGAAGTTTATTGAACCAGGGAGCACATACACTTTTAATTTGTGAATTTTTCCCATGAACGAAATGTTACATTTTAATTCACCTCTAAACTTAAGTTTTTTTCCTGATACTCCCCTTGCAATTTTGTCTGTTTTAGTCAACAGTGGGTAATCTAGAAGGTAGCAGTAATCGACTGGTACTTGTCGTAGTCATAGGCAATATGCTTAGGCAATAGGTGTAGACCATATGCGTATATACATACTTAGACAATAGACGATGTACCTCCACCTCAGTCAGTATTTATGGCTGACACCAGCCAATCATATTACAGTGAGGGGGAACACAGGTGTATGCATATTCATTACATCAAATAATAATAATTAAAAACTATCTTAACAAGGAAGATAATCCATTTCTTGCACTGCAATAATTAAGTCTTGTTAATTTTCTTTGTTGTTGACTTGAATTTTAGGTGAACTTGAAGACCTTGAAAATTACCTAATATTACATAATATATACATTGCAAAGCTGTACAGAACAAAAACGCGAGAAGGTTTGATTCGTGCACGAATGTTTGGTGCTTCCAAGGCCACTGGTGATGTAAGTGATTTATTTTTTTTTTGTTTTTGATGTGTTTCATGCTCACTTGTATTTAAGCTTATTTTCAGTAGGTTAACAGTGATCTGCTATAAGTGCTATGTAGTGTAACAGGAGAAAGCTATGGAAGAAACGTTTATTCTTCCAAATGTATTTCCCCCATTATGAGCATTATTATATCTGTGATATAATAATACCGTAGTTCATGGACAGAATAGGATGGCTAAAAGGAAAGGGAATGACATACATGCTTTGTTCTTAGAGAGACTTTTATATTACTAAGACATACACAAAACTATATATATATGTACATATGTCCCCCAAGGAGAATAATATATCACATATATCTACACAGAAAAGCAGAGTGGAAGGTGAAACAAAAAGGAAGTTTCTTATATATAATATGGAGATACTCTTGTGTCAGGAGAAGACATGTTTTGGAGGCCAGATTCATCTATGTCTCGGGTGAGGACATATTCCACGAACAGGAAACAATGAATCTTGGGTTTTCCCCAAATTGAAGGCTGCAAGCTGGATTTTCTTTCTATATCTGGGAGAGATACATTCCCAAAGGAAAATAGCACCATGGACTTGTAAGCTGCTGGGGAGGCAGATTTAGCCTCAGCCCAAGACCTGGAATAAAGAAAGCAATCTTATAGTCTCACTGATGTAAAACGAACTGAAATTTGCTGCCACTTTCATCATTGTATGGAGCAATGTCATTAAGCAGTTGTCATGTGACCCATGTGACTTACTTATATCAAAGCTAGATAAGCGCCTTCTGTCTCCTTCAGTCAGTTATGTGCCATGCATGATACACGCATAGGCAATCATGTATCTTTTGATACATGACTGACGAGGCAGATTTTTTTTCCCTGCAGTAGGTTGCCATTTCTTTCTGTAGTAGACCAGTTGCCATCCAAGTCTACAGAACCCAGCCTGTCCTGCTATTTACCCATAGCTGGGGGAAAGAAGAGGATTCCTACCTTTTCCAAGAGTATTAGTATGTAAGTGAATGTAATGAATTCGACTGGAATTCGAACTTGGCTATCTGATTCTTCAATCTGAGCCACTGTCCATTACTCCACCATGTCTCCTTACAGTAGCATAATATTTACCAACACAGAAAATAGATTTGGAAAATTGAATTTGAATATGGTCGAGGATGCTAAGATATTGAATTTCTGCATTAACTTAAACAAAAGTTAACATGTAACCCAGTACAACCTGCCACATGGATGGGTGGTTAATGTCTAAACCAGCTCCCCTAGTAGCTTTTCTGTTGTTGAGGGCCATGGCATATCACCTCACAGGATGAAAAGCAAGACCTGTCAAAGGATGGATGAGCTTCTTATGGGAGCCAACAGCCAACATTTTTTTATTATATATAAGGATAGGAAGGGGTCTCAAGTCTTAAATGGAAACTTTCCTAGAGATGGTGTCTTGATAAAAAGACTTAGTGTACCCCCTTTTTTTGTGTAAGATTAATTTTGGTCATGTCTCCAGAAAAATATGTGGCTAAGTATGTACAGAGTGTGATGAGTAAATTGTCACCATTTTATATTTTTAATTTAATGCATACATGTTTGTTTTTGATTTTGTCAACTGCACATTATAGTAGGATCAGTTGGGCATCATCTCTGGGAAAAAGATCATGACGTAATTCACTCCAGCAGAAATTTGGAAACTGCATGCTTTACTGCTTGGCATTCACACCAGAAACTCTAATATAAACATTTCAGGGTGTTTGGGTGTCAGTCTGAGACAGTGTAGAGGATTTGAAAATAATTGGATGAGTCTAATGGTGATTATGAAGGTAGAGCAGCTTGGAAAACTCACTCTGATCATTCTGATAAAAAAAGAACTCCCAGATTTGAGGGCCTCAACATGGAGGTCTACATCAAGTGCCTTGAGGAGCAGTGCTGCTCTGGGTCAAGAGAGTGGCTATTGGAAGACTCTATATCTGGAAACAGGACTCTGCACCATGTCACACAAGCAGGAGAACCCAATCATCATTGTCAGACAATTTCTGTGACTATATCACACCTTACACCTGACCACCTAACTCTCCAGACTGTAACCCCCTTGATTAGTATGTGTAGGGTGCTGTTGAGCAAGAGACCAACAAAAACCTTGTAACACCAAAAGTGGAGGCAAGGATTATGGCAGCATTCATCAGCTTAAACAAGGAGACTGTCTAGAAGAATTGTAGGACATTCTAAAGTTGTCTGGAGGCCATGGTTGAAGCCAATGGCAATTTTATTGAATAAATTTACTCTTTAGTATTTCAATATATTTTTGTGTAATTTTGGTAAATATATTCGTTAAAATGAGATATCAGTGTTATTTTCATTTTTGCGTTATCTAGATGACAATTTATCCATCGCACATTGTATGTATTTATGAGGTCTGATCAAGAACTTTCAGGACTGTTGTTGTGGTAATAGAACTAAAATAGGCAGACTGAAGCTGTTTGGCACAGACTGACCTTGTGCTCTACCATGCATACACACTAAGTTATAATGTTCTCATTCACTTCCCTTGTTTATTATTTTTGTTGCCAATTCTCAAGAATAGAAAATTCATTTTCATTTGTTTAGGTTTTATTCTATTTCTAATCATTGCTTTTTAAAAGAATAAACATTGCCGAGGAGTGAAAGTAGTTAAAATAATAGCAGTGTCAATAGAAAAACCATCCTTTTGACAGTACTTTTTTTTTGTGGGCACAAAGGTCCATGTTTGCCACAATTTCTAATCAGATTCTTTAATAAATGGCTTTTTTCTTATTTTCTTTTCCTTTCAGGTATTGGTCTTTTTGGACAGTCATGTAGAAGTAAATGTGAAATGGTTGCAGCCCTTACTGAATCGGATTGCTGAAGATCGAAAAATTGTTACGATTCCCATTATAGATACAATAAGTCCAGATACCTTTTTGTATGAAGGATCACCTCTTGTACGTGGAGGATTTAGTTGGGGTCTGCATTATCGATGGGATCCTTTACCTGCCAAATACCGTGACAATCCTGAATCTCTGTCAAATCCTATTGAGTGAGTTTATATTTTAGGTTGAATCATAAATAATTTCCACTTTCATTTATAAAATTTATTCTAAAAATAAACTATATTTTATTCAATTATATGAAAAACATTTATCACAAAGTGGAAAATGTTTTCATGTGATGTGTATCAACTTTGTCTGCAGTCCTAAAGAGTGAAACATGTCACCAAAACCTTTTCCCATTTTCCACTTTGTCATAATTCTTACCTTTAAAATTGTTCTTGATATATAAAAAAATTATATATCATTATCCTATTCAATTATATTCACCATTATTTGCAATAACTTGTCAGTTATCAGGCAGCTCTTCGATATCCTTTGAGTAAAATTCTGCTGGTTTTGATATGAAAGTTTTCGGTATATTCTTGAATCTGGTCTTAATTAGAGAATGTTTTAGAGAGCATTTTGCAGCAGTTGAAAAAGCTAATAATTGGTTGGTGCAAGTTCAGGTGAATATGGCAGGTGGGGTAGAACTGACCAACTGAGTTCAAAAATATTTTTCCTGTGTTTTTCTTTTTGTATATGACCTTGCATTATTATGGAGAGGAAGAATATTTTTACTTTTATCCACTGTGTATGCTGCTATTGCTATACAAAAACTCATGTATATTAGTGCACTTCAAATTTATTCTGAACTGCCACTTATGATTAGTACTTAAGATGATACATTGGTTATTATGATTGGTTTCCCAAAATAGAAATTACTTATGACTCAATCTCATTGATCTAATTCACAATTCATTGTTAGTTTGTATTGTAGCAATAAAGAGTTGATGTAAGTCCTTGTTGGCTATACTCTGTTCACAGCAATGATGTGAAATGTGTAACTATTTCCTCTATTTCACACTTGCACACTTCTATTAACACATAGCATAAAAGAAAGAAATTGTTTTTTATTGACGTTTTGTATTTATCATTACTAACTCCTTAACTGATGGTCCTTCAAATAAAAACAACATGCAGTTACAATTCCTTAATGTTGCAAAGGCTCACGTGTTCAGTTGTAGAAAAGGCACCAAATCGTTTGTGTATTAGCTGAAAGAAAATAAAATGTAAAAAAAACAGGTAGAAATGTGTTGGCAGTTTTTTCATCTGGGCTTTTGTCCTATGTCACTCATCAACAAAAATGTGTGGAGTCAAGTAGATAGGGAGAAAAATTAGTGTAATTGTTAGTTTATGTCCTGAGTGCTAATCAATTTCTATTGGTGAAAGTGTCACTTGCCAAATTATCCCCTGTGTTATTTGCATTAGTGTCTCTTTAGATGAAAGTGACATGTTGACAATCTCTTCATGCCTTTCATAAACCAAGCAAAGTATTAAGAGACAGGAAAATATTGTTAGAAACAAAGAAAAGAGTGCCCGACTGCTATGTAATATCAATCCTTCTATATGGCAGTGAATGATGGACAATCTCTTCATACCTTTCATAAACCAAGCAAAGTATTAAGAGACAGGAAAATATTGTTAGAAACAAAGAAAAGAGTGCCCGACTGCTATGTAATATCAATCCTTCTATATGGCAGTGAATGATGGACAATCTCTTCATGCCTTTCATAAACTAAGCAAAGTATTAAGAGATAGGAAAATATTGTTAGAAACAAAGAAAAGAGTGCCCGACTGCTATGTAATATCAATCCTTCTATATGGCAGTGAAAGATGGGCAAGTATTCGACTAGCGATAGAAGCATTTTTAAAGCTAAGCAAAGTATTAAGAGATAGGAAATATTTGTTAGAAACAAAGAAAAGAGTGCTAGATTTTCAAATTATATATATATATATATATATATATATATATATATATATATATATATATATATATATATATTCTCTGTATGACAGTGAATGTTGGACAATTTTCCCCACGGATGAGAAAAAAAAAAAACTAAAGACAGAAAAAAAATGATTCTCGCCAAGAATGCTGAGAATCCCATAGACGGAGCGAGTAAGGAACAAGAAAGTCTTTAAAAAATGGCAGCAGAAAGAACACTCAGAATCAGAAAAACAAAAGCCGAAAATCGTTGAACACATAATGAATAAAGAGGGCTTGTAAAGCATAAACTTCACAGGGCATATTCAGAGCAAGAGAGACAGGGGAAGGCAGCGTGCCACTTACCTGTCTTAGCTTGTGCGAATGGATGACGGTGCAGGAGGTGGACGCGTTAGCAAAAGGTGTGAAACTGATTAAAGCCACACGCGACAGAAAGCTATGGAGAGCCGTGTCCCCAAGGGACGCGACATATAGAAGAAAAAAAAAAAAGAGTTGCTCCCTTAGGTATTTACATTAACCCCCCCACCCTGGTGAAAGTGTCACCTACCAATTGCCCCTGGTTTAATTTCATTATCCCCCTCTTGGTAAAAGTATCAATTACCAAATGTCCCTTGTATATTTGAGTTAACCCCCCTCTTATTTAGCATTATCCTGATGATGGACTATTTCTTTATTTTAACTAATTCTGGGTGTTTTTTGTTTTTTTTATTAATTGCTGTCTTCAGTTTAGGAGCAATACTTGTATCAATCTATAACTTGGGTCTCTCGATAGACCACCTAGTAAAGGATTATCTTTAAATCTCCCTATATACACAGCATCACCTTTATTTGGATAAAGATTAGTTAATAGAGGTTCATTTCACTTATACTGCAATATTTTGCATTCTATGTTGTAAAGTAACCACTGTGGATTACTGGTCATAATTTGTTTAAAAAATAACACCTGCAAATAAAAGCTAGTAGAGTTTGTTTTCCATTTATGTGGAAGCTACACATCAAAGTAGCTAACATAACTGAGCTAGTGCAACTGATTTTCATCATTTTACACATTATTCAAACTATCATCTTTATCCTTGTTATTTGTATCACACCATTTCAACTGATGTCTTCTTTAATCTTCTTGTATTGTGTGAATTCCTGATATGAACTGTTTTTGTTATTCCACATATTATTCAAATTATTATCTTTATCCTTGTTATTTTTATCACAACATTTCAACTGATGTCTTCTTTAATCTTCTTGTATTGTGTGAATTCCTGATATGAACTGTTTTGTTATTCCACATATTATTCAAATTATTATCTTTATCCTTGTTATTTTTATCACAACATTTTTGCCCTATTCTTTGACATTACACAGATGCATACTAGAAAAGCCAAAGAACATATTCAACCAAACCATTGTTAAAATCAACAAAAATAATACTTCTAAAAATGTGTTGTATAATGGCAATAATTTAATGCTCTTAATTATAGAAAACAGTTCTAATTGTATTTATTTACTTGCAGGACCCCAACAATGGCTGGTGGTTTATTTGCTATTGACAGAAATTACTTTAATGAAATGGGCAAATATGATCCCGGTATGGATCTTTGGGGAGGAGAAAATCTGGAAATATCCTTTCGGGTATGATTATTTTTGGTTTTACATTCCTCAATTTTTCTAGAACAAAAAGACACTATCCTTGGTTCTTAAAAGATCTAGACAAAAAACTGACAGTGTTCTAAAATTACCATAATGACAATCAGTCAGTTATGTGCCATGTGTGATACACACTTAGGTGATCAGGTATCTTTCGATACATGACTGACGAGGCAGATTTTTTTTTCCCTGCAGTAGGTTGCTATTTCTTTTTGCAGTAGACCAGTTGCCATCCAAGGCTATAGGACCTGGTCTGTCCTGCTATTTACCCATAGCTGGGGGGAGAAGAATAGGATTCATACTTTTCCCAAGGGTATTAGCACATAAATGAATGTAAAGGATTCGACTGGAATTCAAACTCAGCTCTCTCATTCCTCAATCTGAGCCACTATCCATTACCCCACTGTACAATAATAATTAAACTGTAAAAAAATTGAAAATTTTAATAACTCTAAGAACTAGCAATAAAGCATTTACAAACAAGTAAATAAATAAAACAAATCAATGAATGCAATTACCGTATAGACTTGAGAATAGGTCACACTTTTTTTTTTACCAAAATTTTAATAAAAGTCATGGGTTTGACCTATTCACTCGACATCATAGAGAATCTGAAGTAGACTGTGGCATATTGGTAGTAGGCTTGAGTATGAGTGAGAGCAAGGGGAAAAATGAATTTTTTGATATTATGCAATCGCCTCTTCCAACAGTACCACGTCACACATCGAGTAAAAGTGCTTGATCTGCACCTCGTATTTGCTATTTATTATCTGATTTACAACAAAAGACAATCATTTTCAAGTGATTTTAGGACTGAAGCAATTACTGGTTACTTCATCTAAACAGAGCAGCCCCACACTTGATAAGTAAAAACCATGCAATTACAACCAATCATAATTTTGCTTACAGTTATTCCATGCAGAATAGTCATTTATTGATATATAAAAACTCAGTTCACCTGAATTTTTACAAATTTTAATACTGTGGAACCTTGGTTCACAAATTTAATTCATTCCTGAAGGCCGTTCATAACCTGAAATGTAACCTGAAACTATTTTATGAACAGGAATCAATATAAAGAAAAAAGTCATAGTACAATAAAATTGGAAAAAGAAAACACAACACAACACATGAATATATACAACACAGCAGTTGACTCAGAAGTTATTCTGTTTGGGTTAACTTGGTTTGGCAATGTTGTTCAAGAACCAAAATTTTATTCGGCAAGCAAGGCATTTTCATCTCAAATTTTCTGTTCGAAAACCAATTCATTCAAGACGTTTGAGAACTGAGGTTGTACTGTAATTGCAAACCTTAATCATGAGTAAGAGAAAGAATTATGAAGCAGTTTTTTAAGTTAAAAATGGTGGATTATGCAGAAGAACATAGAAACATATCTGCAGAAAGAGAGTTTGGAGTTTCAGAAATATTATTTAACAAATATATTTGCAAGTCAACCACAAACCATACACTTTGACAACCTCAAACTAAGAGTGCGATTTATACAATAATATACAGGGTGCATCAGTTTTTTTTTTTTAGGACATTTGCATGAAATTAGAAAAAACTCAAAGTTGATGAATGACAAGTTTTTTCTGAAAACAAATTGATGCAAATAATCTTGAGAATTCTTTTATCACACCTCTCAAATGAATCCATGACTAATATCAATGACTGCTTCAATAAGGAAGTGGAAGCACTGACATCTCCAAATCAGATAATCTTTATCAATTTTATGGTGTTATGGGGACATTGACTGATGCTTTTACTCAACTAGGCCCCATGCATAGTTCAATGGCTTCAGCTTGCTGTTGATGTTTATTGCTGTTGGCTACAGATATGAAAGGTATTCCTTTCATATCTGTAGCCAAGGATTCCAAACATTCTGGATCCATTAAAAAACAACTTTAATCATCACTCAAAAATTTTTTATTATGAAATTAAAATAATTATTTTAATTTATTGTTTAATTCATTTATTTATATATATATATATATATATATATATATATATATATCTATAAATATATATAAAAATATAAAATCCAAATGAGAGATAGCATTTAAATTTTTTTTCAAAAAGTGCTTTTACAAAAAGTAGAGCAATATATATATATATATATATATATAATAATAATATTAAACATGTTTTATCATGAAAGAAATATTGGTATTTTGATTATCAGGAGTTCAAGCTAACATTTTTTCCTCATCATGCTGGATCCATCCCCGCAAAAAAACAACTTTAATCATCTCCAAAAACTCTTTCATGAAATTAAAATAATTTATTACTTAATTAATTATTATTTAATAATTTCATTACTTTTATTTATATATATATATATATATATATATATATATATATATATATATCTATATCAAGTGAGTATTGAAGTCAATACCCAGAGGTAACAGTCTGTTTCATGCTAAATGCAATCATCAGGACTTTAACATAAGCTAAAAAAATTTTTTTTTTTTTTAAGGTCAGTATATTATTGAATTTTTTTATGTATTTTGTTAGACATGGGTTCATTTTTGGGGAGATATTCATGTCTGTCAAGTGTAAATTTACATATAAGATTCTTCTTTTTTATTTTTTTAAAATGCATTGTAGATTTGGATGTGTGGAGGACGTCTTGAAATAATTCCCTGTTCCCATGTTGGCCATGTTTTCCGAAAGAGGCGTCCATATACTTCACCAAATGGAGAGAACACAATGATGAAGAATTCGCTTCGGGTGGCCTATGTCTGGATGGATCAGTATCGGGTACATTTGTTCATTTTTTTCTGGTTTCAATCCTGTATATAGTTCTGGTTCTTTAAAAGAAAATGGATTTGACATTTTTATCTGTCATGGATGAAATTGGATATATCCACCATGTATTGTTGTTTCTTGGGCAATAATTATAATGAGCAGATTATATTTCTGGGGTTAAGCCCCCAATAAAACAGTGTTTAGAGTTAATACCTCTTAAAGCTTAAATTATGTACAGTGGTCCTCATTATCTGCATTTTAGTGATTGGATAAAATGAAACCCCCTGAAAATAAAGCATTCTTAAGTTTTACTTGTTAATAATCATAAGAGAGCAATATTTGGGATGCTAGCAATTGCGGTATCCTTGTTTATTTTAAGTTACTTGTCAATTCAGTGGTGTTATGTAGGTATATCAACAAATCAATAACCTAAAGACACAAAAAGCATTACTCACATTATTTACATTATTTGGACTGTTATCTTCATCTTCATTGCCATATTCCGTAAGTAATCATAATACCTTATCTCAGAGATATAGACAGATTCACAAAAAGCATGTAGTTTACATAAAAAATATTTATTTTTCAACATAATTTCCTTCCTTGTTACTGCACAATTCAATGTGGAATAAGTTTGTGGCCTAATGCTCAAAAAAGTATTTACTTCACACATCAAATATTTTTCAACATAATCTCCTTTGTAGTCAATGCACATAATTCAATTAGAAATATATAAGTCCACGAAAAGGATTTCAATTAAAAAAAAAAAAGACTGTTTCAAACTACATCTGAATTTCCAGCCTTAAATGATTAAAAGGATTTCAATTCAAAATACAAGACTTTGTTTCAAACTAAATCTAAATTTGTCAATCAGCAATGATATGAAACAATTTTTATTTGTACTTTAAACCGAACGGTGTTTGTGAAATCTCTCAATTTTGCATAATTGTGTAATTAACAATTTTGTGTAATTAACTTTTGTGTAACTAACAATTCCTTTATTAACTTACCTGTATTCATTTCTTTTGCAATTTTTTTTGCCTTTCAGGAACATTTTTTCCGGATGATACCAAATGCTCGTCTGAACACAAATTATGGAGATCTTTCTGAGAGAAAAGCTTTAAGGAAACGTCTTCACTGTACAAGTTTTAAATGGTATTTGGATAACATTTATCCTGAACAGGTATTTTTTGGCTTATTTTTTTTTTATAAAGACAAAGAAAAATCCAGAAAATCCTAAGTTTTATCTTGAATGAACAACTCAAATCTCTATCTATAAAAGGGGGGATGTGTGTGTGTGTGTGTGTGTGTGTGTAACAAATGCATGGCTGAAATTTTCGACAGATTTGCACCAAAATTTACATGCACATGCTCCAAGTTAGTGGGAAGGCCAAGACCGACATTGCATTTCCCAACTCCCATCGATAGTGGAAATAATTGATTTTTTTCATGCTTCTATGGCAGTTTTCATGTAGTTTGCGGCCATTTTCTACTGGCCAGAGTGAGAGCCAATAGCTGGCTGCCACGAATATGCAGGAAGATTCTATTGGCCAGCGTGAGAGCCAACAGCTAACTGACACAAATGCTAGCATGCAAAAAAAAATCAATAGCTGCATTTGTCACAAGTGGGAAAAATTAAATCTGCATGGCACTTTACTCCAATTGGCTCATTCGCTTTCTTAAACTCAACATTGATTCTGATTCTGCAGAACTGGGTTGGTTGTGAAGAAGTATTTGTTGTTAACATTCTTTTTTCATTCGGTTTTTCCAGTTACGAGTCCTTTTTTAAAGCTAATCATTTTGTGTTCATTTTGTTTAGTTCTTTTTTCGTAACAGATTTAATGTTTAGTATAGAGCTTAGAAAAAATTCACAGTGTGAGATAGGCAAGAAGTAAGGCATGAAGCAACATCAGCATGGCAATGGGCACTCCTTTAAAGGCAAGGAAGAGCAAAAATATTTTAAGTCAAGTGATAGCGATTGCTGTATGAGTCATACGATTTTTGAATCCAGCACGGGCAACACTGGGCCATGCTGCTATTACAAAATAAAAGAAATTTAGACAGAGTTAAACTCATAGGTAGTATAATGATTATCAGTGAGGCAAATGGAATCTGAGAGTTTAAGTTCTTGTTTAGTCAGTTGCATTTACTTAACACTGAATGTTATAAGGAAACATTTGGCATTCAAAGAAGGATGCTGAGAATACCATGAACCAAACATGTGAGCAATGACAAAGTTCTAGAGATAATAGCAACAAAAAGGACACTCCTATTTAACATCAGGAAGAGATAGTTGAAGTTTCTGAGGCACGTAATAAGGAAAGAAGGCCTGGAAAATTTGATACTCACAGGACAGATTGAAGGTAAGAAAGACAGAGAAAAGGAATACACAGCCTACCTGGCAAGCTTGAGTGAATGGATGGTGGAGCATGGTTTCGCTGGTGCTGCTGTTGAATGTCCTTAAGTTATGTGGTTTTTCTTATTTTGTACAGTTGTGATTTTGAAGTGTCAGTTCACAAGGTTCAAAGAAGAATGATCTTCACCAAGATTCACAGGCTTCACTTGCTGAAAGCCATTTTTAACCATTGATCTGAGAAAATGGTTGTACAAAGCTGACAGTTAAGATATTCCTGAACAGGTTTGGCACCATGCATGACATCTATATAAAAGTCTTGATCTGACAAGACTATTTAAGTAGGTACCACCACAGATTTGTGATACCTAAGGTTTAAAATGAAGTTTTAAAAATGAAAAATCTTTCTTGAAGCTTTTATTTTAGTATTAATTTCAAGCTGATAGATTATCCAGTGTAACCCGGATATAAGAGATTTGTCGGGACCGGAAAAGAAGTCTCTTATATCCGGGTTTGGTCTATTTTATATACATTAACACAGGCTCTAATTTGGGACCAGAGAAAATCTCTCTTATATCCGGGCCACATTGTATTTGATATTTCCAATAAAAAAAATACTATGCTGTATTTTGAAACTTATTTAAATTGACTGGAAGGAGTTTTTATTTTGAAATTTTTTAAATGTTTGAATTTAGTGCCATTTTCAGCAAAATGTTATAAAAATGTAATTCTCTTTATTAAAAAATCTTCCAAAAATAAAATATATCAGGTTGGTGCATAATTATCAGGCGTTTTTCTAGGCGAGTTTTTGTTAATAAAAATTGCTGTTTTGTTTACTTTTTTTATAAAAATATTTCATTTTCAGGTTATAAAAATGTATGCTGATAATACGTTCTTGAATAATCATTTTTGAAAAATGTTATTGCTGAATTGTTATGTTTCTTTTTGCATAATAAATAGTTTAAAAACGCCTGATAATTATGCACCAACCCAATACTTTCCTGAAATTTTATTTGAGAAATATTATCTGATTTAAAGTATCATTAATTGATTTGAAACAAATATTATTTACTTTAAGTTTAAAATATCACAGAAATGCATTTTTTTAATATGGCAGTAGCTGTTTATTTATGTTGACAGCTCTGTGACAATTCATTGACATAGATTTTTTTATCTAATGAGGGCTTTACATGTAAAAAATAATTGAAGAATATAATGCAGGCGCCTTTTAAGTATTCAGTAATCATAAAAATTTAAGGAAATATTTTCTGCAATTTAATGTTTTGAATTTTAGATAATTTTGGTTTTAAATTTATAATAGCTGCTCCTCTTCCTTTCTGATAATGTTGTATATGATCAACTGTATCTACAAAAATCAGCATGTTTATATACATACAAAAACAATTAAAAATTCTTTTTAAAAATACTAGATTGTAATAAACTTTACAATTTATGATTAGTAAATATAGTTCTAGTTAATAACAATATTCTCTAACAGTTACACCACTGAAACTGAATTTTAAAAGATTTAAAAACTTTATAAAAATTTCTATTTAAAAAAAATGAAAAATATTTATTCGTTAATTCATTATTCATTGAAAAAATTTTTTTCTTAAGAAAAAATAATTAATATATATATAATTCATAAAAGCAATTAAAAGTTTTTCTAATAAAATAATGTTTTAGTTTTATTAAATTTTTTATTTTACAATTCAGAGCAGGGTTTGATTTTACAAAAAAAAATGATTTAAATTCTCCAAAGAGTTCTGCTTTTAACTCATATAGTCACTAAAAATCATCTTGTTGAATTTGAGTTTTCATAAAATTAAGTATGTGGGGTGAAACACATGCAAAAAAAAAAACAAAATAAGAATAAAAATATTTTTACCAAGATCTAAAAAAAACATTTCTAAAATAATTTCCTTCATTTGTAAATAAGTCCTAAAAGTTTCATTAAAATCCAACAATTATTTGATTTTTGCAAGAATTTAAAAATTAATGTCTTTCACTCCAAGAAAAGATACTAAAATTTGCTGATTTATAGTCCATCTGCTGACGTGAGAAAAACAAGATTTTTAATCAAAATTTTTAATGTTCTAAAAAAGAGTAAAAAATTTAATTAAATAATCAAAAAATATTTGATCTTTTTTCTTAATAACAAAGATTTTGCCAATAAAACTTTAAGTTTCGGGCATTTTTTCATCATGGCATGCTGATTTTTTGGGGAATTCATGGTGATACCTATATTTAAAAGAGTGGCTAGTTTTCACTTTAATATTTTGACTTTGCAGCAATTTATGGTGTTGGGTAAAAGTAATTCTGTCACAACAACCTATGTTCAATTATCATTTCTCCTATAATAAATTTGTTATAACTGATTCATACACTAAAGTTTAAGTGCTTGGAGAAAGGCATGAATCTATTTCTTCTTCCATCAATAACTGGGCTCTCTAGCCTTGATTGGCAGCCAGTCTAGAACAACAACAACACTGAATTTTAAATCATGGAAAAGGAAATGTCACTCCACTGTCATTCCCAAGAAAGCATAGCTATTCACAGATAATAAAGAAAAGGAATCTGTGGAGAGCCATTACTGCATATGTCTTGAAGGAACGTATCATTAAAAAATTAATTGTCCTGGGTATGATGATAAACTTTATCTGGCAGCAAGGCCTCTGATCAGGAAGTTTTGAGGAACATAGAACCACCTCTTATTTGCTGTTGTTACCAGATTCACCCTGACCTGGAGTGGTAGCACCTGTTAGGGGGTCTCAGCTATAGGCAAATAGTTAACCCTCAAACTGGGGTCAAAACACTAAAAATGTATTTTTATAGTAAAAGTACCAGCATTACAATGCCCCCCAAGAAAATTAAATTTCAGCATTAAATGACACATAAGGAGTTGATATGCTGCTAATCAGCAAAAACATTAAAAAATTAAAAAGCTTGATTCTTATTTCATTAATAAGTGGACTGAAAATGATGGGCTTTATCCTTGATTTATAATTACTGTATATACTTGACTATAGTGAGTTTTTATAATCAGTTTTTTCTGTAAAAAATAAGGGGTTGCACTATCAGTCATTTATGTGCCATACATGATACACACTTAGGCGGTCATGTATCTTTTGATATATGACTGATAAGACAGATTTTTTTCCTGCAGTAGGTTGCCATTTCTTTCTGCAGTAGACCAGTTGCCATCCAAGGCTACAGAACCCAGTCTGTTCTGCTATTTACCCATTGCACTATACATGTAATTTTTTTGAAGAGGTTAAAAATCATGCATTTTCACACTATACATTAAGTTGACTTATTCACAAGTGCATACAGTAAACTAAAAATAACTATTCTGATAGTATGTATTCTGTATGTAGTTGAGTGTTTATGACTGATTTTTTTATGGCTTCTCAACCTTTTGCGGGTTATTTAAAGCCAGTAAATATATTGGTTTTTACTGATACAAGTTCTACTAATTAACCCATAGCTGAAGGGAGAAGAGATGGATTCATACCATTCCCAAGGCTATTTGCACATAAATAAATATAACAAACCTGACTGGAATTGGAACTCAGTTCTCTGACTTCCAATTTGGAGATGTTATCCATTACTGCACCTATACATCCTACCTGGTATTCCCAAGTGGTTACTCATTTAGGTACTGACCAAGCTTAACTGGTGATCGTATAAGAACTGGTGTTTTAGTGTGATATGGTCATAAGCCATACAACTTTATGGAAATGTTCTTGATAATTAGTGTAGAAAGGCTAACATTAAAACAATTCACATAAGATATACATTTAGTTCTGGGTTAAAAGAGTTAAATTAAAAAAAGCAAAAATGAAGAATAAAACTTACAGCACACAGTATTCTCGAGCAGTCACCCATCTAGGTATTGACCACGCTTGACATTGCTTAAGTTTGGTAATCATATGAGAACTGGTGTTTCACCCTAATATGACCATAAGCCTACTCTGTATGTAAAAAGGAAAATACTTTTTTGCTATACTGTTTATATAATATTTGCATTTATTTTTATTTCTCTATAGTAGGTACCTCCACTTTTTCAGCAAAAAAGATTATTATGTAAAATGTCCCAAACTTGATGAAAACAAAATTTTATTGTCAATTGGTTTGTTATGATTAAGAGGAAAGACCAAAACAATTTTTGTTTATTTTATTAATTTTTTTAATCCTTTCTAGCATGTTTGAAATTTTTGTTAAAAATCTTGTTTTGTTTGTGTTCACAATAGACACAGATTACTATGGGGAAATTTAGTGTCTTTTTTTTTTTTTTTGTGGTAAAAACACATTCCTCAAATAAAATTTCAGAAAAGTATATTTTATTTTTAAAACCAGGAACTAACTTGTGTTTACAAATGTCTCAAAAATGACAATGTTACTGAAAAAAATGAAAATCGATTCCAATCAATATAGTTTCTGTTTGAAATACACAAGAGTATTTTGCTTACTGGAAATTGTAAATTTAATCCTTTAGCTTTCAATTCCAGCTAAAATAAAAGCTTCAAGAAAGCTTTTTCCTTTTTTAAATTAATTTACAGCTGAGGTATTATGATTTTAGTGGAGGTATCTACTCTACTTGTAAAATAATTTGGCTTGAAATTGTGACCATATATTTAAAATCATTGCATAAATAAACATGCTTATATCTATGTATTTTCCAATTTAAGGTTTTGCCTGATGTGAATGGAAATATTCCAGCAATGGCTTATGATAGAAAAACCTGGATGAAGCATAAAAGTGTGCTCAAGAGAACTGGCAAGGTTGGTTTATTTCTTTTCCTTTTCATTCAAATTGACTAAGCATTTCTCCTATTTTTTCCAATTAACATTAGACATGTTATGAATCCCTTATTACAAAGCCTTGAAACAAAAACAACACTTATTCTTAACATCAAGAAAAGATGGTGGAAATTTCTGGGGTACAAAATGAAGAAAGCGGGCTTGGAAAATTTGATACTCACAGAACACATTGAAGGCTAGAGAAAAACAGCACTTAACCTACTCAAGCAAATGGATGGGGAACAAGGTTTAGGAGAGATAAGAAAAAAACAAAATTTATTGAGAGCTACAAAGTACAAGAAATTGTGAAGAGCCATTATTGCCAACATCCTTTTTTTTTTTTTTTTTTAAATATGTGTTGGATATATAGTCTAGCTGATGACATTTACCTTCTTTTACCAATTTGAAGATATTATCTATTACTGCACCCATACATTCTACCTGGTATTCCGAAGTGGTTACTCATTTAGGTACTGACCAAGCTTAACTGGTGATTGTATAAGAACTGGTGTTTCTGTCAGTTTTCTTTTTAAATATCCCATTGTGATAACAGATCAGCTTGGAAAGGTGAAATTTACTGAGGATGATATAGTGATTAAAGCACTTTCCAAACATTTTCAACTTAACGCATTGCACAAAAACTTTTTCTACTTATAGATACCCCTAACATTACTCTTGATATATAAACATCTATATATTGTTTTCCCATATATAACATTTTTTTATTATCTGTCTATATTTCTGAGATGAGGTATTATGTACACTATTTACATTATTCAGACTATTGTCTTCATCTTTGTTACCATATTTATTACAATGTTTCGGTCCTTCAGTATCTGTCTATATTTCTGAGATGCAGTATTATGTACATTATTTACATTATTCGGATGATTGTCATCATCTTTGTCACCATATTTATTACAATATTTGGCCTTTCAGTATCTGTCTATATTTCTGAGATGAGGTATTATGTACAATATTTACATTATTCGGACTATTGTCCTCATCTTTGTCGTCATACTTATTACAACATTTCGGCCGTTGTACGCTCTGGCCTTCTTCAGGTGGTTGGAATGTCAAACTGAACCCTTATTTTGCTCACTAGTTCCACGTGCCATGTTTTAATGGATGTCTGTTATCAGATATCTCCTGTTAATTACCCTCTCCAAGTTCTCCATGGCCTTAACTGGATATTCAACTCACACTCTTTGGTTACAGGACCCAAAGAGTGTGAGTTCAATACCTGGTACTCACACTTCTGAAGAATGCCGGAGTGTACAATGGCCAAAACGTAATAAATATGGCGATTTTTTAAACTTAACTTATTTTCATTTTTAACTTATTTTCATTTTTCTCAATGAAATATCCAATTCTCACAACCTATTTTTGGCTTTTCTTTTAAATATGTTTGACCCATGTGTGTCTTGTAACTCATAAGGGTCATAGAGGCACCATATTTACTGTAGCCATAGTGGCGTGTCTAGGGCAAGAAAACTTGATGGAGCCCAAAACCTCTTCTGGCTGGTTTTGAACTCAGTTTTCCTTCTCCAAGACTGGTTGCCTAATGATGCAAAAAAAAAATTATTTATTTTATACAACAGTTACTTTTCAACATAATCTCTTCTTTTGTCAATTCAATGGTGAATGTATAGGTATATCAACAAGTCTGTAGCCTAATGAAGAAAAAAGCATTTAGTTTAAGTAACTAGTTGAGTGTGTTGATTTGATTCTCATTAAACAGTGATTTTATAATGCAACCAGCATGAGAGACCAATTTGAAAATAAATGAAATATATAAAAAATATACAGATGATCAATTTAGGGGTTATGACCAAAAATAAACCCAACCTATTTACATAGACACATCCTCCAACTGGCATAAATAAGCAATCTAAAGTTCATGAACATAAATAACACTAAGCAGTACCGTTAAACTAAAGAGCTGGGAAGTGCCAGTGTCCTCTTTCCTTGACTTCCCTTCATCCCCCAGTGACCTATATATACAGCCTGTTAAAGGAGTGGTGGTACTAGGTCTGGAGATCACATTGTGGCATGAAAATGACAGTTATCATACAGTGTTGATTTCTCTGTCCATATTTTCTTTCTGATATGTGAAAATTACCAGAATTTAATGTATTTTCAGACCAACAGAACTTCTTCCAGAAAGTGCTCAATAGATAACTAGAGCTATAATAATCAACAAATCGAGAAAATTTCAGTGGATTATTCTCAAATGATGTTAGAATTTTGTTAAAAATGTAGTAAGAATTTGAAATTTTTGATTAGCATTTGTTCCAAGTGTTATAAATATGAGATCTAATAATAGGTTCAATAGATTTGTCAAACATCTGACACTGATGTAGGTTTTGACACATACTTCATTGGCTGACTCTAGAGTAAAGTCCATTGAACTTTTATTGAAACATATATGTGTGTGTGTATATATATATATATATATATATGTATGTATAAAAAGAAAGAACAGTAAGATATATAATCCGGTGTTCTTATTGATATTTTTATTTTTACAAAATTGTGCTCAATGTAAATTTAGAGAGCATTAATATCCCTACCCTACCTAAAAATAACCCCTTTTTCGAAATTAACTAATAACTGATACAACAAAAGTTAATAAAAATGAACATGCTACCACCCCTTGTCTGAATGACTGGATCTCTCTGTATCCTTGGAAACAGTGTATTATGAATTTTTCTGTGCCTTTAAAACTCAGTAAATTTAAAAAATAAGTTACTCCAAAATTCACTTGAGGATGAAATAGAACTAATGTTTTTAATTTAATTACAAAATTAAATTCAAAGCTTTTAGCTTCCATTTTTGAAAGATGGTTATTACTGTGTAGCAAAAAAAAAACAAACAATATTTTAAATCAGTTAATTTATTATATATATATATGTGTGTGTGTGTGTGTGTGGTGTACTCTTCTGTCATATTTGATGTATGCGGGTCAAGCAGCTCAGTTCCTAGGAACTGACAGCCCAGACACTAGCATATATGATTTGATTATGGTGATGAAGGCTTTGTGCAGAACCAACCACACTTCTTGAAGGGTTAAATACAGAGACCTGGTGCACTACATGCCACAAGATCCCCAAACGACACTCCGCAAGTTTTGAATTCAGAATTGTCCTTCTCCTAGACCAGTTGCCGTCCAAGGCTATAGAACCCAGTCTGTCCTGCTATTTACCCATTGCTGGAGGGAGAAGTGGATTTATACCTTTCCCACGGGTATTAGCACAATGAATGTAATGTATTCGACTGGAATTCGAACTCAGCTCTGATTCCTCAATCTGAGCCTCTATCTACTAATCCACCATGCCTCCTATATATATATATATATATATATATATATATATATATATATATATATATATATATATGTATGTATGTATGTATAGGCAGCATATTTTCATTCAAGCATGTTTGGTTAAATAATTTAGATGTATTGTGTCTATTTATTTTAGTTTTAATCCTTTCAAGACCATAGTGGCTGTAGAAAATTGATCAGGAAAAATACCAAAATTTTCTTTCAAATAATTATTTTCCCCAAGTAATTTCATCTTCTGGAGGTTAAAGTATCTGTGGATGTATATATAGTAGCTCCGTAAATTCAAAATATTATTTTTTTAATTTGAGCCTGGAATGCTGCAAAATACAGTAAAATGAACAATGAAAAAAAAAAAAATAATGTCTTTGTGTTTATGGCAGTTTAGAAAAAAAATTGAGTTGCATTCTTTATAGCTTTTAATAATCTTGATCACAAAATGTCATTTCTTTTCTTCTTTTAGATTATGCACATTAAATCTGGAATGTGTATAGAATCAATTGGAGCTGCTTACGAGAAACGCTCAAAACTGAGACTAAATGATTGTGTTCCAAGTTCTGACTATAAAAAACAGGTTTGTTTCTTATTTTATTAGCACTTTTTCACTATATTTTTTTAACCAGTATGCGCTTCAGCCATTAAATTGTGTGATTCTAAGAAAAAAATAACAAGCTCAAAGGCTTGAACACTCATCCTGTACATAAGGAGATTCCCATAGTTTAGCTTAATAAAGGGTGGATCAATGAAAATTTAATATAAAAACATTGTCCTGTATTTACGACTGTATAGGAGGTATTACTAGCAAGTACAAAATTACCTTCTTCATTTCTAATGTTGTTCTTTGATCCCTTACATATCCGGAACATTCGCTATAAACATTTTTGCCATAGGAAAACTTGCCTCAGGAATTTTTGCCATAGGAAACTTTGTCATGTAGGATTTTTTCTGCCAGATAATTTTGCTGCATTTTTTCAGTACCCTTAATTTGAACATTCCTTTTGGAGTAATGTTCAATTTAATATACAAAGTACCTTATTATCAAGTATATATAGATGTCTTTTTTACAGTGTCAAACACCAGAAAAGTAATTAAAAAGTAAACATTTACTTAAAAAATAAGACTAAAAATATATCAAATTAACAAAGAAATAATTTAAAATGTGTGCAAAATTCAAGCAATGCTTCGTAAATAATGTGTTTTTTGCGTTGGACTGTTAATGAAGCATTTTCCGCAGAAGTCTTGCATTGATATCAATATATATTTTCTTCATTTGTACTGCATCTCCTTGATCTAAGTCACTTTTTCTTTTTTAGCTAATGTTTCTTCCTTTTTTAAATACGCAATTAGTTTCCCCAAATTTGGGTGCATGTTAGTTATGGAGCTCTGTACTGCATTAGTGAAGCCTTCTATGATGTTTTTTGTTGCCGGATATACGTGATAACAAGATATTTTGCATATTAAAAAAAAAAAAAATGCACCAAAATTGTCTTACGGCAAAAATCCTATAGGGCAAAGTTTTCTACAGTGAAAATTCCTGAAGCGAGTTTTCCTAACTGCAAAAATGTTTATGGCAAATGTTCCTAGAACCGATCCCTTAATACCTTACGAAGATTTTGAAAATTATCTTTCACTATTCCTATTTATTATTGAATTACTGTGTCATATATTCTGTCAAACTCATTATAGCAGAAACTTGGTATACAAGACAAGCTTTTGTTGTTTGTAATGAACTGCACATTTTATCAAATCACAAATGACAATTCTGTCGAACTTTCCATTGTCTGTAATGAACTGCATATTCTATCAAATCACAAACAACAATTCTGTCAAACTTTACATTGTAATGAACTGCAATTCTATCAAATCACAAACGATGATTCTGTCAAACTTTCCATTGTCTGTAATGAACTGCACATTCTATCAAATCACAAACAACAATTCTGTCAAACTTTACATTGTCTGTAATGAACTGCACATTCTGTCAAACCACACATTCTGTCTGTAATTAGCCACACATTTTATCAAAGCCCACTTTCTGCAATGAACTACACAGATTTAAATGTGAAAATTGTATTGTTAAGAACCAAGCTATTCATTTTTTACAGTTTCATGTGTCACAAAATTCAATCTTGTTTTTTTATTTTTTTTTCTATTTCATCTGTATTTTTAGATGTGGTCAGAAACAAATGAACACGAATTAAAACTTGCTCAAACTCTTTGTCTAGAAGTAAATGACTTTAGTCGAGATAAAATCATCCCAAAACTGATGAAGTGTCATGGAGGAAAGGGGACGCAAGAATGGCATTGGACCTCTGAGGTAATATGCACATTTTTTTTTCTAATTTTTATTGCTCTTTCCTTTTTTTCTTGTATGGACAGCATTTAAAAAGATAGAATGTTTATTGGTCGATAAACCAGTTAGAATATTCAAATTTATATATTGATTTCTTAAGACCAGTTTCCTTATTTTTTATTGTCTTTCAACCACTCTTATCGCCAGTCAGTCACATTTGGTAACCTTTCAGGAATATCAAACAGAATCCTTTGTTTGAAACAGAGTATTTTCATAAGAAGGAATTTTAAGACTTGTCTATTCTTCCTTATGCTCAAATGACTCTTCGTTAAGCTGATGTACTGTGTGTAACAGCAAAATTGTCCAATTATTAGATTAAGTTTGAACCCATGCTCTGTTAATGTTGCAAGCAGTTTCAGAAGCATTATGACCCAGCTTGAATTCATGCAAAAAAGCAAACACATTTCTTCTATTTTCATGTTCTAGAGGAGAGGCTATATAATGTTTTAAGTTAAATTCTGAAAGAGATTGATATAAAATTAACAAAGAGGACACTTTAATTATTAGAAATATGTAATACATTTTTTGTGAAACTATTATAAAAAATACTGGTTGTAACAGCAAAATCTCTATCAGTATAGAGAATAGCATAGAGAAGAGAATCACAAACTGTATAGTAATAGAAGATAGTGTAGAAATAGCGATCTGAATAGTAATAGAGGATAGAATAGAAATAATGATCTGTATAGTAATAGAGGATAGACTAGAAATGAGGATCAATTAGAAACTACCTCCCACATATGCATTTCCTCTATGGTCATGTGGTCTACTTAATTCAATAGGGGGGTCACCTGTGTGTGTTCACTGGCGATCTATGTTCAAACTCAAGTGTCGGCAGCAACACAGTATTCCTATATAACATAAATACACCTCTTCTAAGCCCAGGCTATGGGTTAAGTAGTAAGACTTGTTTCACAAGATTATTATGTCAAAAAAAAAAAAAAAATGCTTACACTCAAAAAACATATTTTCTGGTTTTAAATAACCTGTAAAGTGTTGATAAGCCATAAAAATGAATCAAATCAAATAATAAAATGCAAGCATTGCATCAGAAATATACACCAGAATTGAAGGTTGCAGTTTCGGAAATTGTCAGGGAAAAACAAGATAGGTAAAGAAATGAGAACAGAGGCAGATCAGACATGATTAGAAAAGATTGTTACAAGATCTGAAACTCTCTTGGAAGGATATTCGATATGGCAGGTAATGGAATGAAAACACGAATTTACATCAGTTCAGTGAAGAGACTGATCTGCATCATAAGGAAGGAAGGATGGTTACAAGATCTGAAACTCTCTTGGAAGGACATTTGATAAGGCAGGTAATGGAATGAAAACAGGAATTTACACCAGTTCAGTGGAGAGACTGATCTGAATCATAAAGAAGGATTTCTTTTGTCTCTGAGTTGTTAAAATTAGCCGCGACCAAACCAATAGAACCTGTTTGGCTTGAATAATGCTTGATACAATCATTGTGAATGCTGAGATAATGTAATAAATAACCTAACACAGAGAACTAAATTCGCTGCTGTCATAACAGTCTGTAATACTAACTTGCTCCTCTTTTCCTCTATAAAGAAGTAGCTATAAATATTTAAGTATTTACTAAAATTAATTTCACCTCAATCAGACTCCTGCTACAAATAAATTTTTTGTGACTCATTTGCTATGTCGAGGTAATGAAACGGGATCGAACCACACCATCTGAGGAGTTGTCAACCTGAAAAGACCTCATCAACTGAAAAATTTAAATGTCTGAATGATCAGATTTTGAGGAAGAAAAGCTCAAATGATGAAATCAGATCCTGAGGCTAAAAGAACAACTTAATAAAAAAAAAAACAGATCCTGAGTGGGGAGAGTAAGCTTAAATTAATAAAGTCAGATTTTAAGTGAAAAAGCACAAATTAATAAAAAGTCAGCTACTGAAAGAAAAAGCTCAAAATAATAGAGAAATGAGACCCTGGGTGTGGAGGGAGGGAAGAACAAATTAATAAGGAAGTTTGATCTCGAGGGAAAAAACACACAAAAAAAAAAAATAAATCAGATCCTGAGTGGGGAGAGTAAGCTTAAATTAATAAAGTCAGATCCTGAGGGAAAAAGCACGAATTAATAAAGAAGTCAGCTTCTAAAGGAAAAAGCTCAAATTAATAGAGAAAGGAGACCCTGAGTGTGGGGGGAGGGAGGAACAAATTAATAAAAAGTCAGATCCTGAGGGAAAAAGCACGAATTAATCAAGAATTCTAATCCTGACCAGGGGAACTCAAACAAATTTTATTCTTTAATTGCTGAACTGTTTTTATTTCATTTCATTTTTACACTTGGTAAAATAAATATTTTTCTTATTAGGCAGCAATGGGGGATATGTTACTTCCTCTGTCATCAAATGGATTTATGATGTCAATTATTTTGAAGGAAGGAAAAGTGATAAGAAGCTTGTACTGCAACTTAGTAAAGCAAATTTCAAATATGGCACTTGTCAATCTTTAATGTCCAAATATTCAAATTTCCATTTCAGAAAACTATCATCTTTAATAGGATAGAATAAATAATTTTTCTTTTGATCATTTTTGTTAGCATAATAAATACAGGAATCCCTCAATTAATGCACATTTGATTAATACATTTTCAATTAGTATGCTAAAATTTTTATATACTAACACTCAATTAGTGCATATATAATACTCTTTTAGTGCAGTAAAACATTTTTCTTCAGGTTAACCATAGTAATTGAAAATTGATTTTATTTTTTAGTCACAGATATAAACAGCACTAATTGATGGATTCCTGTAATTACTTTTGTTAAATTTAAGTACCAACAAAGACAATGACTTACTTGATGAGATTGTCAACTCCATATGTAAGCATTTTTAGTTAATGAAAAAAAGAAAAGAAAAATAGCTTTTTACAGCTGTTATATAGAAATAAAGTGTTGCTGCTGATATTGGAGTTTGAACACAGACCACCAGAGAGCAACCACAGCTGATCCCATTTGAATAAGTAGATCCCATGGTGGTAAAGGAAATGTATATATGGGAATTAGCATGGCATCTAAGTGATCACTATTCGGTGGTTACTTTTCAAGCAAGTATTATTGAGCAAGTACTATTAATGCGAGTGTTATTTAAATGCATCTGACACCAGTATTGTTCAATGGTGTTACTATAGTTGTATCTGAGATTACAAATCTCTAGTACAACAAGCATTATAAAAGTGACAATGAGTATTCGTTGACATTACAAAAACAGGCGAAAAAGTAAAGTAAATTTCAAACCTAGTGCTTGCTGTCCTAACATTCAAATTTTCATTTCAGGAAAAATTAAAATCTTTAATAAGTTTTGGGGAATGACTGCAAAACACATGTCCCTCTCCAATTTATAGGCCGAAGTACCCAATGCATGCTGGGATTTTTTTCCTAGCAAATAAAATAGGCCAGTTCTTTGTTTCATCTGACTCAAACTTGGTCTGTGTTGAAATCAGAATGCTACATTCACTTGTCCGAACTTGTTTTTGTTTGTCAACCCCAATTCTTAGTTCAAACATTTGCCATATTAATTTACTTTGCATATATTGTTTGCTTGCTTTATATTATTTTTTGCCCTGTTCTTTTCTTTCTTTTGTTATTGTAAATTTTGTAAATTCTGTTTGTTGGACAGTTCTGTTACTTATTTTGCATTTGATCATGGCTACTCACTCCACAAAAGTGTATACAGTGAGCCCCCCACCTATTTGCATTTCAGCATTCACAGCTTTACACATTCGCAGATTTTTCTTTAGAACATATGTACTTATAATTTGCAGAAACTCTGAATATTCATGTATTTTTCTGGAGAACATATGTACAACTTATTCACTGAGAACTCCCTTGATTCACATATTATTTCAATAGAAGATATTTAAAATATTCTTGTATTATTTTCCTGTTAAGTGACTTAAAACATATGACTGTTCATTTTTATAGTTCTTTTCTTTTTCTTGATATTGCTTATTGGAAATTTTGTCAATTCTGTTTGTTGGACAGTTCTGTTACTTATTTTGCATTTGACCATGACTACTCACTCCACAATAGGATTGAAATAGTAAAGTTTTTGAATTTTTATTTGAGTTTTTTTTTATCTTTTTCAGGATGGCCCGTCATTGCTCTACAACACTGCAAGTGGAAAATGCTTGAGTGTCAGTTTGGACAAATCTATGCTTTATTTGGAACTTGATATTTGTGACAAATCTAATCCATACATGAAGTTTTACTTCCAAAATAGAAGTAAATAACTTCCCCCTTTTATTAATTCCATGGCTCATATTATGATTTTCCAGAGTGTATCACTTTCTATATTCTCATATTTACCAACTACAAAATACTTGGTATATATTTTCAGTTGCACAAAGAACAATAGAAGAAAAGTAAACAAACTTTGTTCAGGCAGGAATAAAATTAGAGAAATTATTTTGTCTGAATTTTTGGGATGAGATTTTTCAAGAGCCACTCAAGGTAGAGGGTTACTGTGTGGTGTTGTATTAGTTTTAGAAAGGGCAAGAAGTGAAGTTCTTGGGGCTATGCAGAAAAGATAACTAACTCTAAACTTAAAGTGGTCAAGATTTAATTAGTGAATAACATTTTAGAGTTCAGTTGGAAATGATAGAATTATAGTGTGGAAGTAGATATTAGAAGGGACCAGAAACCCACTCCTAAACAGGAAAGAAGGGATAAACCTCTACTCCTGTTCAAAAGACCATGAAGAAGCATGAACTAAGCAATAGACAACCCTATCTAATCCTATTGGGAAAGGGGAAAAAATAACTTACAAGGTACATTCTAGAAGTTTTAAGGCTTTTCCAGGGGAGACATTTATTAATTTCAAAGAAGTATAAAACTCTAATCTTCTTCAAAGAAGAGTCCTCCAACTTCAGTGCCCTTGTTGTAGAGCTCCAGCTACTTTGTGAAGGCTCCATGGAACTCATACAAAGTGAAGCCATCCTCACAATCTTTTCAAAATGGCTCCTTCATCTTGAAGAACAACCAAAAGTCACAGGAAGCAAGTTCTGGACTTTAAGGAGAGTGAGTGGCAGTTTTGATGCCCACATCTGTCAGCACAAAACTTCATAGGAAGCTTCCGAATTGTCTTCATGTCCCAGATGCATTCAGCAAGCTGTGACAAGGTATGTTTTGTAAGATGCATTCAAAGAACTATTACAGCTGTCTCCTTCAATCTGGAATAACAAAAATTGGTAGGTCAGCTTATTAGATGTATAGTAAAGATATACTAAAATTACAATAATCTTGGTCAGTTATACTACCTCTCCTAAACTTCTGGAATGTACCTTATATATCCTCATCTTTGTTCTTACCACATTTCCAGTCTTCTTCAGGTGTCTGTTAATCTGAATAACCTTTGAGAAATCAAACCACATCTTTTAATTAATCTACAGGAATGGTTGTTCTTATCATACTACCTGAATCCAAGGATATTTCATCGTGTTCATTTTTTTTTTTTTTAAGTACAGTTCACTCATTGCTAGTCCCACTGAGTTGAAGTACTACTTGGCCCATGGATTGTACTCTGAATTCCAAATTCATGAACCAACATTTTAATTCTCTCAGTGTAAAGAGTTCAGTTCAAAATTTCATGAAGGGTAACTGGATCAACAGACATCTGAAGAAAACCAAAGAGTATAATGGCTGAAACATGATAACAACAACAAAGATCAGGACACCTGTCTGATTGTAAACAAGTAATATTTTCATTTAAAAATCTGTAAAATTTTAATTTATATATCTTAATAAAATAAGTCATATTTAATTTCATTTATAGTAATTAATATTTTAATAAACAAATTTTTATCATTAAAATTTAGTTTATTAAAATGTTGCTTATTTAATTCTTCAGGACATGGCTGAATACGGCTCTCCACAACTTCCTGTCTCTTGTAACTCTAAGCAACATTTGATTCTTTACCATCCCTTTTTGTCCCCAATCTATCCATTCACACAAACCTGTTAGGTAGATTACTTGCTTCTTCCTTTGCCACTCTTGCCTTCCATATATCCTGTGAATATCAAATTCTCCAGGCCTTCCTTCCTCATTATGAGTTACAGGAATTTGAACTGTCTCTTTCTGATTTTAAGTGTCCTTTTAGTTCTTATTTACTTTAAAAAAAAATCCACACTCACATACTGAATTTATGATATCCTCAATATTTGTTTGTTTGTAGTACCATATTTCTGGTGATTAACTTCTTCCCCAGCCTAGATGTGTACATACATTTTTACTGAAAGTGACTTTTTTAGACATGGACGAAGCTACAGATGTGTTTATACATCAATCTTGATTCTTTTTATGCCCTTCTGAGCTTCAAACAAGTTAAACTGTCAACTGGTAGAGGTGTTAGTCACCGCACTGGTACTTCAAGGTGCCTCAGTTTCTTAGTTACTATATTAAAAACAGATAAAAAAATTTGTCTAAAAATAAAACATTTTCCCAAAATAATTGGCAGGGAAGGGGTTAAAGTCTCGACCTTCATTAAAATATTATTTATATACATAAAGAAAGTTACCAAGTAAGTTCTCATCATTAAACAGCTAAAATGGCTAAATGTAACCATAAGTTCTATGCTAACAGTTTCTTCTATCCCATTTCTCATTTCTCGAAGTCTCTTCTTGGGTCTTGCTTCCCATTCAACTTTGAAAAAAGAAAGTTCTATGCTAACAGTTTCTTCTATCACATTTCTCATTTCTGGAAGTCTTTTCTTGCTTCCCAGTCAACTTTGAAAAAAGAAAGTTCTATGCTAACAGTTTCTTCTATCCCATTTCTGGAAGTCTTTTCTTGCTTCTTGCTTCCCAGTCAACTTTGAAAAAAGAAAGTTCTATGCTAACAGTTTCTTCTATCACATTTCTCATTTCTGGAAGTCTTTTCTTGCTTCTTGCTTCCCAGTCAACTTCGAAAAAAGAAAGTTCTATGCTAACAGTTTCTTCTATCACATTTCTCATTTCTGGAAGTCTTTTCTTGCTTCTTGCTTCCCAGTCAACTTTGAAAAAAGAAAGTTCTATGCTAACAGTTTCTTCTATCCCATTTCTCATTTCTGGAAGTCTTTTCTTGCTTCTGGCTTCCCAGTCAACTTTGAAAAAAGAAAGTTCTATGCTAACAGTTTCTTCTATCCCATTTCTCATTTCTGGAAGTCTTTTCTTGCTTCTTGCTTCCCAGTCAACTTTGAAAAAAGAAAGTTCTATGCTAACAGTTTCTTCTATCCCATTTCTCATTTCTGGAAGTCTTTTCTTGCTTCCCAGTCAACTTTGAAAAAAGAAAGTTCTATGCTAACAGTTTCTTCTATCCCATTTCTCATTTCTGGAAGTCTTTTCTTGCTTCTTGCTTCCCAGTCAACTTTGAAAAAGAAAGTTCTATGCTAACAGTTTCTTCTATCCCATTTCTCATTTCTGGAAGTCTTTTCTTGCTTCTTGCTTCCCAGTCAACTTTGAAAAAAGAAAGTTCTATGCTAACAGTTTCTTCTATCCCATTTCTCATTTCTGGAAGTCTTTTCTTGCTTCTGGCTTCCTAGTCAACTTTAAATCTCCAAAAATGTAAATGCAATCTCTATTATGTTCTGTCTTCTTTATTCTTGTTCTTTCATTGTTCTCTTTCCTTAATGTTTTTTCTCATATTCTCTAATACTCAATAACCACTTGCATCTCAGTGGCTTTATTACCTTGCTTTGGGTGAAATGATTTAAAAAAAAGTAAAAATATATGCTATTTCAAACATGGTAATGAAGTGAAAAAAATAAATATACATTGTATTGATGATACATGTAATTTTCTGCTATATAATTGTTTAGAATGTTACGTACCTGCTAACTAAGGAACAAAGGAAAAATAGGATTAGGTAATATTAAATTAGACTATCGGACAATTAACATCTAACTGGTTTTTAAATGTTCCATCTCACTTTTTCCAGATATTTCCTATCATAAAAAACAGTCGATTAGATTTTGATTATCCTAGATTAAATATGATTAGCTTGATGCATAGAAATTCTATGGTTGACAGATTGAAGCTTGACATATTATGTTTTAAGGGGGATAAATTGAAAAAACAACAACATTCATTTAAATTCCCATACAGTCGGATATTGCATTTGGTTTTTGTTCTTCTCTGTCCTGTTTCATTTCCATTTTCAAAATATTCTTTCTCACACGTTTACTCCTTATTTCTTGTTTGAATTCTTTACCTTTTATATACATTTCCTAACCATTTATTGCCTAACCTATTATGTTATTTTCCTTCAATTTATCCCCACTAATAAAAATATGTCCCCTCACTTTCCTTCACCATTTTAATTTAATTATGTATAATTAGTATAAAATTTTTCAGAGGGCAGACATAATTAATTTTTATTATAGACAAACAAAAAGAGTGTATACAACTTCTATAAGTATTTGAAACAAAATTCAATTATTTATTCAGTCAAATGAAGTCCTTAACAATACATTAAAAAATGCTGATGAACTTTGGCATATACTATTCAAAAATGCATTAATTCATGGATTTGTTTTTTATGGCTTACCAATCCTTTGTGGGTTATTTAAAGCTGAAATATATTTTGGATTGTCAGAATAATTTATTTTTCTAGTGACTATTGCATTAATGATTTTCTAGATACAAATCCTACTATTTAACTCATAGCTAGGTGAGGAGAGAAGAGAGGGATTCATACCTTTCCCATGAGAATTTAATAACTTTAACTGGAATTCAAACTCACCTCTCAGATTTTTTTATTCTGATCTGCTACTCATTACACCGCCTGCACATCCTATTCAAAAATGTAATGAATTGAAAAAATAAATATACAATATATTTATGGTACAAATAATTTTCTTCTATGTAATTGTTAAGAGTATGACATGTGATAATGAAGAAACAAGCAGAATCATAAGATATTACCTATTTTAAGTGATAATAATTATTTTCAATTGGACTTTTTTCTACCTACAAGTTAATGTTATGATTTATTTCTGGTCACAGTGTTTTCTGTGATTGCAAACTCTTTTTAACAATGTGACTGGAAAATACAGAAAGTCCAGGTTTTTAAATTATTTTCCAATGACATCAAAGGATTTTTTTTTTGTTAATGGTGACTTGATTTTTCTTTTCTCTCCTCAAACTTGGATGATAGAACTGCGGATATCAAGGGGGAGTTAACTCTTTTGAAACGAAATTGGCAGAAATTAAAGTATTTCTTTTTCATTGGTCATTTCAAGAAGTAACTCATCATTTTATT